GCACCCACAGCAACGCCCAGCCAGGAGAGTGACGCCCTCACCTGCCGTCAGGGGAGAAGGAGATGCTGTGCACGGAACCTTTGAAGTGGAAGTGGTGTAGCACCGACCTGCAGACCAAGCTGACTAGCAGAGCCTCGCCCCCTGCAAGAGGCCAGAGTGAGGCTGTGGCCACCTGAGCCCAGATGGAGCACATCTGCCATGAAATGCAGGAAGGTACTGTGCACGGGACATGGGCTGCCTGGACCTGTGTTCTTAAGCTGAGCTTGGCAGTGGTGATACCCTTGTCATACAGCACAAGGGACACAGGACCACCCCAGAGCCTACCCACACCAAGATCGATTACCTTCATCAACGATGATTGCAAGGCGACCATCGGGAGACAGCCCCACACACTTGATGTTGTACTTGGTGGCGAGAGGCAATGTATCTGATCTGTTGCTGAGAAACAGAAACCCCAGTGCACAGCTGGTCTCCTGCACTCAGACAAGGGAGACGGCTATACTAACAGCTGACGCTCCTGCCAGAGGACCCCTTATGCTAGAGTTTATTCCTCGCCCTCCCAGGTAGGACATGGCATTGAACCTCTATGTTCTTAAAGAAATGGGGAAAGGGAGTACACAGAAGGAAAGGAGGCGGGCTCTGACTGGGCTGGGGGTGGGGCACGTCTGTAAGTCAAAACTAGGTCCTAATTTCATTATTTTGTCTGAGTCTTCTTTAACAAACAGGTTCTCAGCCGGGTGGTGGTGGCGCACGCCTTTAATCCCAGCACTCAGGAGGCAGAGGCAGGCAGATCTCTGTGAGTTCGAGACCAGCCTGGTCTACAGAGCGAGTTCCAGGACATGGTCCAAAAAACAATACAGAGAAACCCTGTCTCGAAAAAACAAAAAACAAACAAACAAAACAAACAAACAAACAAACAAAACACAAACAAACAAAAAACAAAAACAGGTTCTCTTTCTCCAAAGTCCCCGAGAAGATGCTATTTAAAGAAACAGCAACATAAAGACCTGACTAGACTCTATAACGCCACCCCTGTCAAAGCAGGTTCCACTGCTGCCCCATCCCCAGAGCTAGCCAACTAACTGATGCAGTTGAACAGAAGAACAGTGGCCTGAACAATTGCCCAGCCTACACAGGGTCAGCCCACAGCCTCTCAGACAATCCAGGGTGGAGCTGAGTCATCCCCAGCCAGCCAGGAAGGGGGCAGCACATTTGCTGGGACTCACAAAGCTAAACTTGACCTCGAGCTGCCAAGCTGCTCATTCTAGACCTGGTCATCTCAGCAGGGAAGCCAGGAACCATCAGGAGCACTGAGCAAGGGTCCAGGCCAGTCTGAACTTGCCAAAGCACTTGGCCTGGGGTCCCCAGAGGCTTCCAGATAGAACGTCCTCACCTTTGAGATAACCCTCCTACCACCACCACCTCCACAGAAGAGTTAATATCTCTTGCTAAGCAATAGCTGAATTGCACAAGACTTTTCCTTTCCCTTTAAGGGTAATGTCAGTATCCTAGACACTAAAATGAAAAATGGGTACCCCAAGAGATATGACCAGTGGCCTCCTAAAGCTAGTAGCCCTGCAAGCCACAAAGAGGAAGACTAAGAGGAGAGCTAGCCTTCATGTACAAGCTATAGTTGTCACTGTTAGCATTGTTTCTCTATACTTACTTCTTGAGGTCAAACACAGTGACTCTATTTCCCACAGGGCTGATGACAGAATTTCCATCGCGTGTGAAATTTAAGTTTCCACACCGATAAACTGTACCCAACAAATTCGAGAACTGTAAAGAAAATGAAGCCGTCTTAACACAAAGAAAACAGTGTCAACTCTCTGAAATGGTGACATCTGGGCAGAGGTGGCAAAGCGCCTGACCCCTAGGCAGGATAGGAACCCAACCTAATTCTCAGGGCCCCAGGGCTCCCGATAAGGGTAAGAAACCCCCCCCCAGGCAAGAGCATCTTCCAGGCACAGAAGGGCGTAAGATTCCCCCTCCAAGAGAAGCTGCATCAGTGAACAGGGCTCCAGGAGGTGCTCGCCACACCAAACAGTGCTGAGGCATCAGCGCCCCGCAGTCTACACATTCAATTATGAAGTGCAAGCATTGCCCTCCAGCAGACACCTGGACCCCGTGTTCTACGTCCAATATGAAACGGCACATAGGCAATCGGGCTGATGTCCAAACACAGCAAAGCCCAGGAGTGCAGCCAGGCAGCTGCTTAGAGGGATTGCCTGGGCTGGAACCTAAGGCAGGGCCTGGGTTGTGGTGGACAGCCATGCAACGATTTAACACCAGGCAGAGCTCGGCTCCTAAGAGGTGTGACGAGCTCGAGGCGTGCTGTCGAGACTGCTCCTAGGGCTGGCGGCCCCGTAGGGAGCTGGTGCGGCTTGAGGTTTGGTACTAAGTGCCTTTCAGTAGCCACTGCTGTATTGTCTGACAGGATGAGTGAGGACAAGGCTGGCTACAGCCCTAGAGACCCACTCTGGAGGGAGCCGGGGCTTCAGTGTGATGGGAAAGGAAAAGGAGCAACAGCTTGCGATGGGGCGACCCGCTAATGCTTCCACAGGCAGCCGAGGTGCCGAGGACCGCGGTCCCTCCCGCGGTCTCCGAGCCTTCACTCTCCCATCCCGCTGCCCCCGCCCAGTTGGCCGCTCACCCGGTAAGCGAACTTCATCCTGCAGCCACACGTGCAATGGCTGTCCTGAGCCACTTCCGGAATCCGAACTACCTCCGGCGCGCAGAACACGCACTTCCGGGCACGGGATCACGACCACAGCGTCCAGAGGCCACGCCCCCTCCTCGCCGCCAGCCGGCACTACGCAGGCGCCGCGCGGCCACGACCATGAGACCACTAGGACCATGGAGAGCTGAGCTAACTAACCTCTGGGTCGCGGTGTGCAGCTGGTAGGAGGTGTGAGAGCGAGCAGATCACCGCACACGCGACTGTGACCCAGTCATCGGAAAAGAACCAAGTTCAAACGGAGTTTCCTCTTAAAAATGTGTATTTTTAGAATGTTAATGCTTACACTTTGAACAATCTTAGTACAGTGGCGTTTCTCTGACATTACAGAATATTGTGAAAATGGAACCGGGCGTTGGTGGTGTACGCCTTTAATCCCAGCACTCGGGAGGCAGAGGCAGGCGGATATCTGTGAGTTCGAGGCCAGCCTGGTCTACAGAGCAAGCTCCAGGACAGGCTCCAAAACAATACAGAGAAACCCTGTCTCGAAAAAACAAAAAAACAAAAACAAACAAACAAACAAAAAACACCCCAGAATATTGTGAAAATGGAACAAACTCCTTCACTGTCAAGGTCAGCCTTCATCTTTCCTAGCCCAGAGAACAGATGCCAGCTATCTTACACAGAAAGGAAGTCTTCATGAGAAATAAAATTTAAAGTCATGTAGGGCTTATTTTAAGAGCATCACTGTTGATGTGCCCAGTCCATTCATAAAAAGTGGTATAACTTTGCATTTTTAGATAAAACCTGGCATGTTTAATCTCATTTTAAAACTTAAGCTTGTTTTAAAACCCGAAGAAAAAACCAAGGTATCTCCTTCTCTTCATAGATTTATTCTTGTCTGAAACTTACAGGCACCCACTCCATGCTGCACAAAGGGGCTTTAGGCAGGAAACCTTAAAATACAATTCCCACATTGCAAATTTTTTTTTTTTTTTCGAGACAGGGTTTCTCTGTGGCTTTGGAGGCTGTCCTGGAACTCACTTTGTAGACCAGGCTGGCCTTGAACTCACAGAGATCCACCTGCCTCTGCCTCCCGAGTGCTGGGATTAAAGGCGTGCGCCACCAACGCCCGGCCCCACATTGCAATTTTAAGTTATTCTTCCAATCACAGGAGACCCCAGGCAATTCACAATTATAGCTGACTTTCTTTCCTGCTTGTAGCTACACACCGTACCAGTGTCTGTAAACACTGGTGGGCTTGCTTCCGGCTTCCCAACGTCTAACACCTGTGATATCTTCACCAAATTAGCCTACCTTACACATACCCTTACAACAGAATTCAGTGACAGTCTCCTAGCTCCTCTACAAATAGAAGAAACAAGGATGACTTTGGGTGACATCTCCCATGCTGAAAACAAACACACATGTAGTTTCTGGGTAGCTAGAGGGCAGGGGAAAGATCCCTTGACAGACTTGATTTCATCCTACTTCGGACTGACAGAGCTGCCACCAACGCTTTAGATTTCCCATTGTTTTATTCTAAATCTATGCAACTGAAAATCTTGGGAGACCTCAGAAATGTGAGACTCAAGGAGTGGTAAACTCGGGGTTAGACACCACTGTCTAGAGGTGAGCAGTCCACCCACCACACGTGGAGCAGGGAGGCTGACAGTGAATGCCAGGCAGAAGCTTTCCTGGGTCTCAGAGACCTCCTCACTCATGGACTTGACATCTGCAGGCAACTGTCAAGTTCTCAGGAAACACATCTCAGAGGACTGTAAACAGTAAGTATGAAGTTCCACGCTGCGTAACTTGCTTGCCCACATTTATTAAACTGCACATAAAATAAATTTCAATAAGCCGGGCGTTGGTGGCGCACGCCTGTAATCCCAGCACTTGGGAGGCAGAGGCAGGCAGATCTCTGTGAGTTCGAGGCCAGCCTGGTCTACAGAGCGAGTTCCAGGACAGCCTCCAAAACAATACAGAGAAACCCTGTCTCGAAAAACCAAAAATAAATAAATAAATTTCACTAAATGTTTTCCTTATGCATCCTTCCAATGCCTGCAAATGAGAGAGATGGGGCTGGGGGACAGTTAACACCATCCTTTATTTACTGACTGAGAAAGGAAATACACCAAACACTGAAAATGTTGGCTTGGTTCTCCTGGTTTCTGCCTGTGCTCCCGATTCCCCATGCCCACACTTGGTCCCAGGGGGACAGCCACTGCTGAAGAAGGCTCCTTCCTCTTCAAGCTCTGCACCTCGGGTTCCACACATGTAAGCCAGAGCACTCTACCTCATAGGTACAAAAATGCATCACTTCAGAGGAATGAAAATGTTTAATACATACAGCATGTATTTACAGGCTATGACTTCAACACCAGTAAAAACAAACACACATTTATTTTGTCCTTGATTTTTGGTGCAACTTATACACAAACATTACATCAGTTAGTCTGTACTCTTAAAAATAATAAATCAACAATATGTACAATCAAATTTACAACCAAAAGTAAATGAACCCGTTGGTGCGGTATGACTGCAACCCAGTGGACCAGCAGAGGCTCCTCCAGGCCCTGAGTCCTTCTTTATGACTGACGAGAGCACAAGAGAGACCTCTCTCATCTTCACTCCAGATGGAGCATCTTCAGTTCCAAGACTTAAGGTGCAAAAGATGTCGACTATACAGCTACAATACATGAGCAGACTTTAAAGTGAGAGGAAACATTTAACCCCCACGTCCAACAGTTATAATAAATATAGATTTAATTCCAAGTGCATATGATATTCAATCAACATTAGGAGAATCAGGGATCCAGAATGTTTAGCCTAAGCCATCTCCACATCACACTTGCCTGTGTTCTGGTCGTCTCTCTCCAGTACCTTTCACGTGGCTTCTACAGATGGACCTTGTGATCTGCCGGGCATCCCAAGGCACAGAAGGGGTTATGTTCCCTCCCTCCCCAGCCCCTGGCCCCAAACGGTGTTACTATAAAACCATAACTAGGGAATCTGGAGTGTAGGACAGTGTTTCATCCCTCAGGAGGCCCACAGGTCGCCCAGGGGCTGGGCTGTGTGAGCAGAAGGGCACACAGTGCCATTAGAAGCCTGCAGAGTCTGCTGAAGGTCCACCTGAAAGAAACGGAAGCGGATGGGGAGCCACCCAGAGAATGGAGGAGACCAGTCTTGTGGGGAGGGAATAATGAGTTGGGGATACCAGCACGGGGACAGGGACAGGGATGAAAAAATGAAAATGAATCCTGTGTCACAGACAACATGAGGTGACTCTCTACTCCACTGAGTAGCTGAAAGACACTGTTCTCTGCTGTGTCTGTAGCTAGGCAGGTCTGCCAAAGTCTGGTTAGAGCTAGTGTGTTACCACAGACCACAATCCAGTCACAATCCCTAAAGTGCACTCACGGCCACTGTGGCTTCACTGGCCCATGGCATTGTCAGGTAACACTGACTTCTAGGACGTGGTCATCTTGACTGGGAATGACCAGGATCTGCATGCCAGTGCTGGAGTTGAAGACCTGGCCAGCAGGCAGTGCCTGGAGGCGGGGCATGGGCAAGCCTTTGTGCTCGCTGCTGGAAACTGAGTGTGTGCTGCCTCGACTCCTAACGCTGCTGCAGTCCAGCTGGTCATCTAGGTGCTTGTCCACTGACAGGCTGTCATTTTCTATCCAGCTATCTGTGGAAGACACAGGAAGTCAGACCAAGCCACTGTAGCATGAGCCTGGGAAACGGGAGCCAACCTGGGTTGCTGTGTGGATACAGGAGTCACCTGAGTGTCACATCGTTACACTGTGGTATTGAAACCTAGTGCAACAGACTGGGGTGTGGGTATTATTTTCTACTAGCCATGGAAATACGTTTTAACTTTTCAGCCTCCCACATGAAGCTACAGCTATTTAAATACAGAACTCATCATTAACTCACAAGGACTCTGCCTACAGCTTTCACACTACTGTTCAGTAGGAACCACACTTCAGGTTCCGACTATGAACTGGCAGTGTGGTTTTGTCCCCCTGCGATGCTAGTGGCAGAAACTACAGTCCCCAGTCAGCCCCCCACCTCACGGCAGGGGAAACATCAGGCTAGCACTAAGAACACTGTGTAGCCCACCATTTGGGGGTTCTGTGCTTTGCTTTAAATCCCATCTCATCTACATCTGTACTTTTTATTTCTATCCATCCATCCATCCATCCATCCATCCATCCATCCATCCATCCACCCACCCACCCACCCACCCACCCACCCACCCACCCACCCACGTTCTTCAAGACAGAGTTTCTCTGTGTAACCCTGGCTGTTCTGAAACTCATTTTGTAGACCAAGCTGGCCTCAAACTCACAGAGATCTGCCAAGTGCTGGGATTAAAGGCGTGGGTGACCACACCTGGCTACATCTGTACTTTTAAACAAGCTCTGTTCGAACGGTTCTGCACAGTGGGGGGAGCGGGGGAGGCTATGCTCAGAGGCTCAGTGGATCTGGGCAGTCAGTGAGCTGACTTGAATGGGTTATCAGTACGTGACTTACTTAGGTATAGACGTGAGGGGAGGGGAGGGGAGGGGAGGGGAGAGGAGACCAGGGGAGGGGAGCATCTGTCCTTCTGTAAACTCCTTACCGGCATCCAGTTGAGAGGCATGAGCAGAGTGATGGGGAAGGTACTTAAACAGTCGGACATCAGGCAACGGGAGGTAACCAGCAAACAGAGGCATCACTTCCATATGGACTCTGTGAGTGGCCTGGGCAGCCACGGGCATGGAGATGACACCACAGCTCTTCCCGCATACAGCCCAGTTGCTGCTGTTATCCACAACTGAAATGAGGAGGACACAGCATTTGTATAGACAGCAAAGTGATACCCACCCTTTTCTAATCCTCAGTCACGGTCTCACCAGAGGACACACATGTCTCATCGAAGTCCTCCTCACAGTGAACATGTGCGCCAATAATCAAGACACAACACTGTTTTAGTTCAACGCTCAGATCTACTTTAGACTGGGTCACATCAGATACAGACAGAAAGTCACCCTTTCTATCAGATAAGTGAAGCATTAAACCAGGCTGTTTGGAGGCGGGAGGCAGTTCTGTCTGTGAGTAGTTGCACCAAGACCAATGATCTGTGCTGTGCTTTGGATCTCAGACTTCCAAAGGCTCCCATGTTGAAGGCTTGGTCCTCAGCTGGTGGTGCTACTGCAGGATCCCATCACAAGGGTGCCAACTTCGTCAGTGGGTCCAGTGACGAGCTCATGCAAATGGCTGCTAGGAGGTGGGGCCTGGCTGGAGGAAGGTCACTGGAGAGGGGCCTTTGAAGGGCATATCTTGTCCACAGATCTGTTTTCTTCTCGGCTTCCCCTATGCCATGAAGTGAGCCGACTCCATCATAGTCCCCAACCACCATGTTTCTGCCTTGCCTCAGCTCTACAGCAATGGAGCCAGCTGGCAGTGACCAGAGCCCTCTGAAACCTCAATGAAAATCTGTCCTTCAGGGTTTCACAGGCATCTGTCATAGTGATAGAAAGCTGGCCAGCACTGCCTGGATCCTGCCCCTGCCCAGTCCGTCCAGCCTCTGGGTATGACCATTCATGGAGAGAGAATAACGTTGTCCACCATCAGATGCTTCCCAAGGATGCAGGAGATGGTACACACTGCACCATTGAGGCACATCCTGGACACAGCAGGGACTCAGTATGTGGCAGTTGTTATCAGCACATTTTTTGTTGTTGTTTGGAAACATGGTCTGGCTGGTCTGGAACTCACTGTGGGGACCAGGCTAACCTCAAACTCACAGAATATGCCTGGCTCTGGCTCTGGCTCTGAAATGTTGGGATTAAAGGTATGTGCCACCATGCCCAGCTGATCAACATGATTGCCTCTTAACGCCACCCCCCCAACTGATCTAGGGTGATCCTAACCCCTAGCCTGAGGTCAAGACAACAAGTGAAGCCAGCCTGGGGCCAGGATGTTGAGCAAGAAAAGACCCTTCCCACAAGAAGCAGACAAGCAGCAAGGAGGTCACATAAGTGACTTGAAGGCCAGGGCAGCAGAGGCAGGTGGGGTGGCCATGAGGTCAGCCGGTGCTGCAGAGCAGGCAGGGAGGCAGGCCTCAGAGTAGGGCTGCAGTGTTCCCTGATCTCCAAGCGAGCTCCTGGCTGCTGCCTCCATGCCACACTCATGCTGGTCCTGATGAAGGCACAGGCCACATTCACCATCATATTCCTCACATTTCTTCTCCAGCATGCATGGACTTGCCGGGAATTGACAACTGGACTTAAGAATTCCCTCCACAAAGCAGTCAGCCACCAACTGCTCAGTTCATCCCCCAAAGAAGCTTTCTTCTTCCTCCTCCTCCTCCTGCTCCTCTTTCCCTGTGTGTGTGTGTGTGAGTGTGTGAGTGTGTGAGTGTGTGAGTGAGTGTGAGTGAGTGTGAGTGTGTGTGAGTGTGTGAGTGTGTGAGTGTGTGTGTGTGTGTGTGAGTGTGTGAGTGGGTGTGAGTGAGTGTGAGAGTGTGTGTGAGTGTGTGTGAGTGTGTGTGTGAGTGTGTGAGTGGGTGTGAGTGAGTGTGAGTGTGTGTGAGTGTGTGAGTGTGTGAGTGTGTGAGTGTGTGTGTGTGTGTGTGTGTGTGTGTGTGTTAGATGGAACGCATGTGGACATCAGAGAACACGCTGCAGGAGTCGGTTCTCTCCTTCCGCCATGTGAGTCTCGGCTGCTTAGGCTTGGTGGCAAACACCTTGACTCACTGAGCTAGAAGCATTGTGATGTGTCTGGACAGCCACAGAGGTCACATAAGATGGGAACTTGCACTGGTACCGCATGGCCACCAGACTGCAGCCTTCAAAGGCCTTACCACCTTCAAAGGGACTTGGGCCAGGCATCTCTTTTGGTTTAATTCCACAGAATCACAGACACTGGTTGCCTGCCCTCACCCTGACCCTTGCCAACCTCTGATCTATTCCCCTTCCTGTAATGCTGTCACTTGAGACTGTCCCTGTCTGAATGTGTGACCTCTTCAGAAGAGGGGTAAAGGTGCCCAGCCAAAACCCCATTGTAGCCACAGTCCACTGTTTTTCCCCATCAGTCAGTAGCTGAGCTACTTCAGCCTGGTGCTGCAAGCTTTTCACACTCTCAGCTGTAGGAGGGCAGCCGGGAGCAGAAGTGTGGAAAAGCAGAAGTGTGGAAAGGGTTCCCCACTGTGTGCTGAACTGGGATGTCTCCACAACAGCTTAGTACATGAGATACTGACGGGCTAACTGTGGGAATCAGTGCTAGTATCCAGCAGATATTTTCTTGAAAAAGAACTGCATGAGGCTGCCATGCTATGTCAAAGAAAACAGCTTAGAGCAAGGCATGGTGGTTCATACTTGTCAATCCCAGAACTTCAGAGGCCAGGGCAAGAGAACTTCCTCAATCACGTTTAGAGTGATTCTGAGAACTGCAGGGCTTGGGAAGAGTAAGAGAGGACAGTGTGTGGTCGGGGCTTCAGCTGTTGGGAGCATGCTGACACAACTTTAGGGCACTGCTGGAACTGTGAACCCTACACGGAAGGGCAGATGTATCCGTGGTCCTGACTCCCCAAACTGCTGCACAGTGCTTGCTAGAATGTACTGTAATAACAGCTGTGTTCAGTGAGCCCAGGACTGTGCTGTCTCATCAATCTACCAGACAGATGCTGTGATTCTAGAACACTCTACTAGGACACTGCACATCACTGAAAGCCATGGAGCATCACACAATCAGAAAGAGCTTCAGGCCTACCTTCGTACATAAGCTTGGTGGAAAAATATTCCTCAGACTCCACGAGGGCTTCATCCTTGTCCACATCCAGGAGGTCAGCGAGCCGTGTGATAGATACCTCCAAGGAGCAGAGCGAGCCTGTCCTACAGTACTCAGCCCCCGAAGCAGGGAGGATCTCAGCTCTCACATTGTACAGTGTCTGGAAAGAAGGGACAGAGAAGATAAGGCACGGCTTACTCAAGGGGCCAGAGGAAAGGCTGCTGAGGGCCAGGGCAGAGGTGCCCACTCACTTTTCAGCACAAGGAAGGTCACTGCCTACTACACGGACAAAGAGCAACAGTGGCAACTAGTACTTACAGACACAACCCCAACCCCATGGCCTTATCCTCTGATTCTTTTCTTTTTACATGTATTATTGTTGCTGAGAGGACAATGTGATTGTGAACATGCCATGATATATGTGAGGAAATCAGAAGGCAGCCCTGTGGAGTTGGTTCTCTCCTTCCGACTTTCCATAGCTTCTAGGGATCAAATTCAAGTTGTCAGGCTTTTGCCAGTAGCACCTTTCCCTACGCCATCTCAGCAGCCTCTTGGGTACCCTTTAAATTGCAGGCATTTTCTAACATGAGAGCAAGGGCAGTGGAGTAGTCCTCCATGAGTCTCTCTCATATTAAGGATATTAGTATTTGCTTCCTCTGTTTGATCTAACTCCATCAAGGTTTCTAAGTTTGCCTAAGATATTCTGAAGCAAATTCCAGACAATGTGCCATTTCACCTCTTATGTTAACACTGAATATTAATTTAAAAAATAGATGTTTTCTTGTCAAAACACATTACCAAAACTAGTAAAATTACCACAACACTCTGGGTACCATCGAATTCAGTCTATAACTGCTTTTTCCTAAGGGGTTATTCTCAATGGCTTTTCATACAAACAAGTATTTTATCACCACCCAGATCAAACCAAGATTCCCAACCTGCCTGCGGCTGGTGGCCCAGGTGAGAGGCGTACACTACACACGGGCAGTTGCAGCTCAGATGCCAGGCAATCTTCACCAAGTATGTGTGGAGCAATACAGCATATCTCAATAGAAAACAATGCATTGCCATTCAAAGGAGGCATCTGAGATCGAGAATCGTGTTCTTCTAAAGATTCATGGAAAGATGACAACTTATCTGGGGATTCATGAATCCAAATCAGTTCTCAGACAGCGTTGGTAGTGACTTTCTTATCAAACACTCAATTAAGTCTGTTCAGAGAAAGGCAAATGTCCACCAATCTGATGGACTGGTCTACTAATGCTTTTCCATTATGGGGCACAAGGAGCTGACACATGTATATATGAGAACACATACCCAGCCCTCTAATTGGGGTGAGGTGGGGGACAAGGGTGCTGCAGAATGCTGAGTAGCCCATTCACACAGGCCAACTTTGGGGTGTTCAACAGAAACACAAAGTTGCCCATTCACACATCCTTCACCAAGCATTAGTGGGACACACTAGGTGCATTTATTTTGAGCCTAGCAAAAGACACATGTTGGGTGATGTCATTCTGTAAAAATGTGTCTGATTGGTTTGAATAAAGCACTGTTGGCCAATAGGGAAGCAAGATAGGTGGGACTAGGAGTCGAGGAGGATTCTGGGAAAGAGAGGCAGAGGAAGACAACAATGTAGCCCGCCATAGGGATAAGAAGTCCGGATGCTTTTCCCGGTAAGAGAAATACTTAGATTAACAATTAAGGGTTCAGAGCTAGCCAGTAAGAAACAAGCAAATGGCCAACAGCTTCATAATTAATATAGCGTCCTGTGTGTTATTTGGGGACTGCAATTGTGGCAGGGCCCAGGCAGATGGCGGGAAGGCTACACTCTACAGACACATTTCCTAAGGGTTCAAAGGTGCCATTGATGATGGCAGGGGAGTTAATCTCAAGTTATCTTCTCCACTGATTTCTGGAGAAAAGCCAATGGCTGCAGGAAAAGCTTTCTGGAGGAACACCAATGGCTGCAGGAAAAGCTTTCTGGAGAAAAGCCAATGACTGTAGGAAAAGCTTTCTCGGAAAAGCCAATGACTGCAGGAAAAGCTTGCCCCAAGAGGCTTCAGTATTAGTGCCTCTCACTGGACTGCTGACACTGCCAGTCTGTGACCAGAACCCACTTTTTTCAGGAAGAAACTACCAGTCACAGCCAGTGATGTCAAACCATTCTGTGACACAGTCTTTTCAACAAGCAACATAGGGACAACTGGTGAGTCACAGAACAGAGTGGCACACATAAAATGTAAACACAAGCACCAAAACTATCAAGCCCTTTGCAACCTTTCTGATCTTGACTTTGGTGATCGATTCTGAAGTCTGGAACCAGAGATTCAGTGATGAAGGGAGAGAAGTTAGATTGCATCAAAGGAAAACGTCTGTGCTTCCGTGGGTATCATCAAGAGTAAAAAGCTAACTACAGAAGGGAACATGCTTACAAGCTATACACTATAAGGGACAGACACCCAATCAAGAACTTCCAATCTAATAACAAAAAGCCACACCACTCCATGTAAGATCTCTCCAGATGACCTGTAACTACAAAGCCACATACCACCTGGCCTCTTGGAAATTCCCCCTCCCAAGACCGTGACACACACTCTACAACCACTTTATGACTAAGGAACCAGCAGCTGCGGTGCTGTGAGTGTGTAGACCCTGGACTCCTGGAGACTACTGGAGTCCAACAGCTTCTCAGAAGCCTACCCAGAGCCACGCTGTGACACAACTCTACCAGTCATGTGTCCGAGAAGAACTCAGAAGTACATTTCCCTAGCATCATCAGCAACAGGACATTATCAACATGGACGATTCTGGTCACTGATAATGGATGGACATGTGGTCCACCTGCAGTGAAACAGCATACAGCTAAAGGAATAAAGTCCTGACACGTGCTTCCAAATGGACGAGCCTTGAGCACACTGCTAAATAAAGGATGCTAAGCCGCATGTCACATGATATCGTGGTGGGAAACTCTAAGAAAGTGTGGATTCACAGACAGACCTGCCTGTAGCTTACAGACTCACCTGGGTAAGGAGGAAATGAAGAGTAGCCATGGATAGGTAGAGGTTTTTTTGGGACACAAAGTGCTCCCCAAACAAGGTGTGAAAAAGTCACATAGCTGAGTATAAGGACATGTTGAAACATACACCTTAAAAAGGTGAGCACTGTCGCACAGGGACACCTCAACAGCTTTCCACACAAGGGTCCTGATTCTTGGTCTCAAGAAGACATTTCACAAAGGCCTGTGACTACAACTGATCCAGAGGACCTGTTCCCAGCTTGCACGACCCCTGCAGGTGAGCGAGGCTCTGCTCACTGGGTAGGAGAGGAAGGCAGACGACACAGTGTGACACAGGCCACATGGACAGTGACTACACCAGACCTCCTCCACAGCAGTGATTCCTGACTGCCCATCTTCACATATCACAGCCACACGTGGGCACTACGTGAAAACACGTCAACACTGGTTACATTTAACTCTATGGCTAGCATACAGAGTTGAAAACATGGACTTCAAAGTAATTAGATTGATTTGGTTAGAGGGAGGTAGAAAAAAGAAAATGGATAGTATCAAGAACCATAAACACAAATGTCTTTCTATCTGCCCAGCACAAGTCAAGGGACAGTGCTGACTGATCCACACCCAACCAGTGATGGGGGATGTCCTTCTGTATATATGCTTCTCTTATTGGTTGATGAATAAAACACTGTTTGGCCATAGCCAATAGAGGCAGGAAGACAGGTGAACCTAGGAGACTAGGAGAATTCTGGAAAGGGAGAGACACCATGCAGAGACCGAGAGAATAGGATGCACCAGGCATTCTCTGGTAAGATAAAACCATGTGGGAATTTATAGATTTATAGAAATGTGAGTCCGAGGCCAGCCTGGTCTACATGAGTGAGTTCCAGGGCAGCCTCCAAAACAATACAGAGAAACCCTGCTCCTAATAAATTAATTAATTAATTAAATTAAATTAAAATAGAAATGGGTTAATAATTAAGACAGAGCTACCCAATAAGAAGTCCTAGCCATCATCCAACATTTTGTAATTAATATAGCATCTCTGTGTGTTCATTTGGGACTGAAAAGAGGGTGGCAAGACCTGGTTAGAAAGAAACTCTAGCAACAAACCAGGCCTGTGTGCCCAGCCCACAGCCATTCAGAGCAGCACACACAAACAAGATCAGGATTATGAGAAAGTAGTAATTTTCTCCTGTAACAATTCCTGTTTTGAGTTTGAAAGCAGTGCCTGGGAGCAGGAGCTCAGGACAGAGATGGAATGGATGGCTCTAAGATGTACCCCCAGACTGTTACAACTGCATGAGGAGGGCAGGGGTCTAGTCACAGATCACCAACACTGTCAGGAGCAGGTGGACCCCAGGAAGGACACAGCACCACAAACTGGACAGGCATGGACTGTCCACAGCATGAGCTGTGGCTCCAGAGTATCCAAAGAATCCACCCAAACCCCCAGAGTATCAAGAACATAAAGTGCCCCGTGCTTCCCACACTCCACTGCCCAACAAGATATCACATACAAAAAAGTTCTCCACTTGAAATTCGTAAGTGTAGGGCTTCAAGGAGACGGTCAGCTGCTCTTCAGAAGCTGGCGAAAACCCCACAGAGAACTGGCAGTGCAGAGGAGGGGGAGGCTCCTGTGTCCACGTCAACTCCCAGACAAAGAACACAGTCTGCTTGCTGTGGATAAGCTGTAACAAGAAACACAACTTTGGTCACAGTGCTGGGAGCCTCAGGGAGGACACAGGCCTTCCACTGTCTGCTGGGAGCCCGTGGGTTTCTGCGGTTGAGCCCTGACAGCCTGGCCAGCTAGTCAAAGGAGCCTGCTTTACGACTGCATTAGATTCCCAACATCGGAGATCATGAAAAGGAACTTCAGGGTTATTAGTACATGGCAAGCTCCCCACATGGCTCCACAAGGGAGCATTCATGCCTCTGTCGAAGCAGACTGATGACACTGCCTGGAGGTGGCAAGGCTTCAGGAGGTGGGTTAGTAATTGGGGAAGGATGTGACAAAGCTATCGGGGCCCCACCTCCCTTCCTCTCTCCCCTCTCCCCCAGTTCCCAGAAGGTAATGGCAACAGTGGCTCTGCTCTACCATTCTCTCCCCTCTGTGCAGGACCAAAAGCAACCAGGCAAAGAGACCCCGAACTAAAACCTATGGAGCCAGGAGTCAAAGAACTTCTTTCCTTTCAGGTGATTTCTTTCAGGCACTGTATCACAGTGACAGGAGGTTAACACAACATCACCCAGCTGACATCCATCTTAATCATTTCCTGTTAACATAAAATAACTTAGGAACAAGTCTAGCAGACACATGGCCTAAACACCAGGGTCCGTACCTACAGGCTCAGGGACAGGTTCAGCAGAGATGTATCAATGGGCAAATAAATATTAGTGGGAAAGCCTGAAGCTACAGTCACCACCAGGAACTCTGATCAACAGCCAGCAACACTGACTGTCCAAAAGTACAGAGGAAAGTTCCAGGGAGCGAGGGCCCAGATGTGAGCTTCTCATAGCAACATGGTATGGAAGGCCTTTACTTACAGCAGTGCAGGACCACACTGTCTCAGGGTGACAGCACACACACAATTACCAGATCACACACTAGCTTGTGTTTACTTAATCTACATGGGGCGGGGCAAGGGTTAGGTCTAAAAAGACAAAGGCATTCCTGTGCCGTCTGCTGGCCCTCAGCCTCCTCAGCCCACCTGTTCCACAGATGAACTATGCAGGCACAGGTGCAGCTGACCCAGGCCTCCTTGCTGGCCACAGGCTTCTCCAAATCAGCTGCAGGCTCTGCTCAGCTGCAGCCAGTCCCTCTGGTCTCCTTCCCTGGCCTGCTGAAAATCCGGTGCTCAGACCAGGGCAGTTACCTGCTGGGACTGTGTGTTCAGGGGTGCCAGCCTCAGGTCAGCAGCCGGACCCATGTCTTCCAGATGACTGTCTGACAGCTCAAAGTCCAGTTCTGATAGGTTCTGGACACAGACTTGGACATATTTCCTAAAGCACAGAAACAAAGTGGGTCACTCAGGACTCTTATTCCCTGCATCTCAACTATGTGAAAGGGAGACCCCGCCCAAGGAATCATGAAAGAGACAAAGGAAGTGAGTGGTGTCAGAATAAATAACTAATCTTTTACCCAGGCAGTCTGTGAGGAAATGGACCCGAGGAAGTTGATTTGATCTGCTGTACTGTGTATAGTGACTAAAAGCCAGTGAGTTTCTTGGGGAGAAGCCTGACTACCCTTCCCCACTTGTTATCTGGAGAACCTGGAAAAGCAAGTCTTTAATAACGACATAGAATCACCATGGAAGCAAATCTCTGTGTATGTCCAAGATGGCTCTCTAGATCAGGTTAACTGAGGTGAAGACCCACCCTCAGTACGGTGGGGAGGTGGTGCTGCAGTGGTGAGGTGTGTGCAGTGGTGAGGTGTGTGCAGTGGTGAGGTGTGTGCAGTGGTGAGGTGTGTGCAGTGGTGAGGTGGGGAGGTGTGGTGGTGTGCAGCGGTGAGGTGTGTGCAGCGGTGAGGTGTGTGCAGTGGTGAGGTGGTGTGCAGTGGTGAGGTGGTGTGCAGTGATGAGGTGTGTGCAGCGGTGAGGTGTGTGCAGCGGTGAGGTGTGTGCAGCGGTGAGGTGTGTGCAGCGGTGAGGTGTGTGCAGTGGTGAGGTGGTGTGCAGTGGTGAGGTGTGTGCAGTGGTGAGGTGGTATGCAGTGGTGAGTGGTGAGGTGAGGTGTGTGCAGTGGTGAGGTGTGTGCAGTGGTGAGGTGTGTGCAGTGGTGAGGTGTGTGCAGTGGTGAGGTGTGTGCAGTGGTGAGGTGTGTGCAGTGGTGAGGTGTGTGCAGTGGTGAGGTGGTGTGCAGTGGTGAGGTGGTGTGCAGTGGTGAGTGGTGAGGTGAGGTGTGTGCAGTGGTGAGGTGTGTGCAGTGGTGAGGTGTGTGCAGTGGTGAGGTGTGTGCAGTGGTGAGGTGTGTGCAGTGGTGAGGAGTGTGCAGTGGGGAGGTGGTGAGGTGTGTGCAGTGGTGAGGTGTGTGCAGTGGTGAGGAGTGTGCAGTGGGGAGGTGGGGAGGTGTGTGCAGTGGTGAGGTGTGTGCAGTGGTGAGGTGGTGAGGTGTGTGCAGTGGTGAGGTGGTGTGCAGTGGTGAGGTGTGTGCAGTGGTGAGGTGTGTGCAGTGGTGAGGTGTGTGCAGTGGTGAGGTGAGGTGTGTGCAGTGGTGAGGTGGTGTGCAGTGGTGAGTGGTGAGGTGAGGTGTGTGCAGTGGTGAGGTGGTGTGCAGTGGTGAGTGGTGAGGTGAGGTGTGTGCAGTGGTGAGTGGTGAGGTGAGGTGTGTGCAGTGGTGAGGTGGGGAGTGGTGAGGTGTGTGCAGTGGGGAGGTGTGTGTAAAACTCGATATTCAAAGGCTGGGGTGAAAACCTGTGAGCTCAGAGAGGCTGAGTAGCAAAAGGCTAATCTTCTCTCCTTGCTGACATCTTTGAAAGGCCCTTTCTTCCACTCTGTCTAAACAGAAGAGGCCGTGCCGCTCCAAATCCATCCCTACTATCTCCTGTGTCTCTCTATCTCTCTTGGATGCCCTCTGATGCTCCATGCTTACTTTCTGTCAACTAACTGCTAATTCAGCCTCCTGATCCAAGGTTAATTTTATCTAATAAATGCAAATGCAAACTCACGATTCACAATGTGATCGAATATCCCCCAACAAGATCTGGTTTGGATTTCACCTAAAACTTTACACTGATATTGTCAGCTGTGAGGCAGAGGGGAAGCTGGGAACATGCCCAGACATAGCTACTCTGGTAATGCACAAAAACCCCAGTGACACACAAGGACAAGCTATGCACCCTGTCCGTTTTGGGGGAAGAAGCAGATCCGGCCTCCAGTCCACCCTTACCGGGTTCCAGCAGAGAGCAGAGAGTGCGTGGTCCTGAAGGGCACACTGAATGTCAGTGCAATGACAGTGGAGTAGATAGACCACGGGCAATCGATGGACACCTGTGAAGAAACAGAGGCCACCTTTACCCGCTGTCCAACAGCACAACCCTGTCACCATCCACCCAGCTGCACAGTGGCTTTACTGTGGTTCACCATCACTGTCCCAGGAGGAAATTCTATTGGACATCTTTCACATGAACAAGTGAAAGGAAAACAAGGACTACAGAATCAATCAGAAGCAGAGACAGAATTGGAAATGTCCCAGAACACCAGCTCGGCTCACAGCACAGGCACCCTGGCAGGAAAAACCACAGGGCATTTAAAGTGACTGCTGTCTGAGGCCTGTCCTACTGTCCCTGTCCCCACACTGCACAATGTGGGAGGCTCGCAGGGGCCACAGAATGGGAACCCGTGTCACAGGAGGAGGACACACCTGGAGGACACTCCAGGAGCTGCTCTCACGTGCACCTTTGGCCAGAGCAACCATCTCTCTTGAGTAGCTGTCAACAAACGGCAGCCCAGAGCCTATCCCAATAGAGCTGTCCCTGGCTGACCCAGGATACATGGATCCACCCTTCCTCCCAGTGTCATGGTGACTCCATTTTGGTGGCAGTGAAGTCTCGAGGTCTTCCATGGCAGCCACAGCCCAGATGAGTGCACAGGGGAACACAGGAAATAGATTCCATGCTCCTCCTACCCAGACAAGAAGGGGCTACTGCCTAGCCACATAATCCAAGACCCTCTCTACCTTGTGATCTGTGGTGACCATGCAATGGTCAGTTTGCTGCATGCCTTTCTGCTTCCTGTGGGGCTCTGGTGTCCCCAGAATCCTGGTATCCCCGCCAGCTGCTGGAGCTGAAGGTAAAGACAGAACCTCCAGCTCAAACTCAATCACATGGTATGCCGGTGCACTGGGAAGACCGATGCTCGTGACCTTGTCGGAGGCCTGGATCCGGAGCGAGGCCGTGGAGCTCTCTTCTGTGGGAGACAGAAAGTCACCTCAGACACGGCTTTGTTTCACTCCCATCAAGTAGGGAATAGGCACAGGAGGCACTGCCGGGCTCCCGCTGTCCTGTGTACATGAATGAGGAGAGTGCCAGGGGAGGAGGCTGGCAGGCCAGGCTCTGCTCAAAGTACAGACAGGCAGGGGCAGCTCCCACATGGCTGCATGCTCCGTCTCACCGCAGACTAACACCTGCCCCAAAGAAAAAGAAGATTTGATGGCTAGCGACTGGTACCTAAAAGGGTGGCCTGCTATTGCTCTTTAGTGGTGGGTGGGGTGGACGGGCCTGGGGAAGCACCCCGTGGAACAGGGTCCAGCTGTGAAGCTGAACTGAAAGTACCTAGCAAGGCTGGCAGCATTTGGCACCTAATGAACACACCATGCTCATGAATGTCCCTGGATGTATGCCCCACTCAGGTGCTAGCTCAGACCACCTACAAATGCTGACCTCGGTGGGAAAGACAAGGTGCCCCAAAGGTGTCAGGGCAGCGATGCCGGCACCTGTCTGCCTTACCTCTTGAGTTAGAGTAGACCACGGCCCTGTTCTCCGCCTCACACAAGATGAGCATGGCTTCAACATTGCTGAGCTGCAGGCTGTCTCCGTTCTTTACTGTGTAATGGCCAGTAGTGACAGTAAACTTGACTTTCTGAGGAATGCCAGCCAAAAGGCTATCTAAATGAAACAAGACAGCAATCAGTATCCTTTCCCCCAGAGAGCAGCCACAGGAGCCCGCGGAGAGGGAGAGAGCTTTTCTTTCTTTTACCGCACTGTTAGCCCTGGGCACCTGTCCCTCCTGCCTCACCTTTCCTCAGTGTCCGCCACAGGACAAAGCTCAGGACTTCCCTGAGAGCACAGGACACTGGGAACCTGAGGGAGAAGGGCTCCTGGGCTGCAGAGTGAGAGACGATGGTGGCCACTAAGTTGTCAAGTCAGACAGGTGGCTCCAAGACACAGCAAGGAAGCAGCTACTGGAGCTGCTCAGGAGAATGGAGCAGAGGAGCAGGGATTGGGTTGGGCAGAGGAGGGGTGAGAGGCAGAAACAAGAAGGAAAGGCAGGAGAGGGGGGAAGGCCACGGAGGGAAGGGGAACAGGCCAGGGCTTCCTAGGAGCAGAGTTCAGCGTGGCCAGTACGTTCCCATGGAAGAGCCCCTAGAGACTGCTGTGCAAGACAGCCAGGAGCATCTTCTGGGGGCTCAGGCAGAAGTCAGGACACAAAGACATAGAGAGAACTGAGGAGATTTAACAGAAACAAAAAAGGAGAAAGGAAAAAGAAAAGGAAAAGGAAAAAGGTTTTCTTTCTGTGTTTCTCCTTTTGTTTTAAATAAAAGAGGTTTATCATTCCGCTAAGGGCTAAAGCCAAGGACCTGCATCTGCATCGGGTGATGGCCTCCTGAGGCAGCCAGGGCCTTGCAAGAAAAGACAAGGAGTGTGTGGTTCACATGTGCACTTGTGTGTGTATCTGAATGTGTATCAGAAAACTGCAGTCCTTGATACTGTTTATGAGTGGGAAAAAAATGGCAAGCCTAAGATCTTGCCTCTCTGGTGTTCCAGAACATGCCACGTGGCAGCACTTATTTGTGAATGTGCACCCTCTACCCTGAAAGCCTCTGGGTTTCTCAGGGCCATGCTGTGGAGTCAAGCCCACTTAGAGCTTCAAAGAGGAAACCTGATGAGAGTGTGATCTACACTCTGGGTGCTGCACCCAAAGGGAGCCAGCTGTCCAAGCTCCCCTCAGTACTTCATTCAGCCCCTTACTTTCAGACACGTCATGGTTACTGTGCATGACGGCTAGCATGCACTGTCTGCATCACAGACAGTGACTGAACAGAGCCGCCAGTGGCTTCCAGGCCGTTTCCACTGCCCTTTCTTGGAGTCCCCTCTGGGTAGACAGCGAGGAGCCAGAGCTGTGGAAGGTGGCATCTGAGAGCCACCCTCTGTGGCTTCCTGTATGGCCGCAGTTCCCACTCACCAGCCAGTGGCTCCACATGCAGCTGAGGCTCCTGAGAGTACACGTCGTACTGTACAACAGGGTGGATGTGCGCAAGGACGAACCACACCGGGCCCAAGGAGGCCCGTAGCTGCCGCAGCGTGTAAGTGCCAGGGTCCTTGGCCTAGGGGCAAAACAAGGCACTTGGAAAGATGACACTTTCTGCCTTCCCTGCAACCCGTCCTGTGCATCAATCACATCTGCACCTACGCTGCTCCAAGAAAGTTCCAGTTCTCTCAAGCCCTTTCTGAGCAACTGATGCTTCTGGCTCAGCGTTAGCCTCTAAGGAGGTTGACACCTGCTCATGGCACACTTCTGGGAAGGTACTGAGTGAGACATTCAGCAGGTGCCAGTCCCACCAGGGCAAGACCATATCTATGAGAGGAAAAACATCTTCCTCAGACCCTGTCCTCAAATGAGGTAAAACAAAAGGGCATGCTCCAGCAGAGCAAGTGTACAGTCCTGACACCCATGCAGCCACAGAAGGGAATAGCTTACACAGCAGGTCACCTTCAAAAGCTCCTTACCAAGGGAGGGGGCATCTCCACACACACAGGAACTAGCAAACAGAACCCCATAACCCATCCAATTAAAGCCCAAACAAAGACCTTCACAAAAACATCACTGAGTAGCTAGGGATGGTGGCTCGCGTCTGTCAAGGGACTGAGGCAGAGAAACTGCCATGAACTTGGGACCACTCTAGGTTACAAAGTGACTTTCAGGCCAGCATGGGCTACAGTATAAGAGCCTGTCTCAAAACAAAAATAAAATAAAGAACAAACTTCATTCAAAAATTTATCAACAGCCAAACTACTGTATAAATATAAAAGTTGAATCTTCCCTAGGATAAAGAAAAAACAAAAAACAAAAAACAAAACTGAAGGGGGCTGGAGAGATGACTGAGGGGTTAAGAGCATTGCCCAGTCTTCCAGAGGTCCTGAGTTCAGTTCCCAGAAACCACATGGTGGCTCCCAACCATCTATAATGAGATCTGGTGCCCTCTTCTGGCCTGCAGACATACATGCAGACAGAACACTATACATAATAAATAAATCTTAAGAAAAAAAGAAAGAGAAAAAACCTGAAACCACAGAGGGCCTCATAGTGCTTTCAGGCTCCCTCCCCATCTCCACCAACTGGAGAGCCATGTCCTGAGCCCAGCCCAACCCATACCTGGGTCCTGAATGCTATCTTGTTGACTCCTGGCTGTAGAGTCACACTGTTGCACCTCAGCACGTGGGCCCCATCCTCCAGGGCTAATCCTGAGGGTGTCTCTAGAGAGGAGCCACTCTCCTGCCTCCTTAGGAGCATGTGGACATTCCTACAGATGATGCCTGTGGTGTTCAAGGAATTATCAGAGGGACTTCTTTCCAACATCTCCGTCAAGTCCAAGGCGGGCAGGCTGTTCTGAGATGCAGGGAACAGGGAAGCCTCAGCTGGGAAGGTGATGATCCCATTGGAAGTCTTGTGCTTGGTCAGCCACTCAGCTGTCTTCCGGTAGTTGTTTTTTTCAATGCTGAAGTGGACATTGACAGAGATCTGGTCCACATGGACAGGGACAGGCATCTGGCTGCACACTGTTATCTCCACAGTCAGGACACCACCGGCATGGACCACAGCGTTGGGAGGGTCAAAACGGAGATCCTTCAGCCGTGCAAAGGAGTGCATGGGTAGCACCACCTTGTGACCTGCAAACACACACTCCCAGTCCACAACTGGAGCCACACCTCCTGCTGGCGCTGGGAGGCGGTGCAATACCAGCTCAGGAGAGTGCAGGGTTGCAAGCTTCCCGACCTCCAGCATTCTTACATCACAAAGGCAGACTAAACAAACACTTCTGGAAACTGGGAATGAGCAAACTAACAGCAGTGAAGATTTCCACAGCTGTTTAGGCAAATTTAGGAGGAACAAAGAACTGCTCCCTCAATTCCAAAACGAAGCTGGTCAGCAGTCTGCCTCCTAGTCACCCACAAGGACTCAAATACCCTCCCAAGCAACTCTTGGAAACTCTCCAGGAAAGAAGCCGAGTGCTCCACTGCGCCCCGAGAGTTAGTTCCAGCATCTGCTAGTCTTTGGAGACAGAAGAGGGACAGCTGCCTACAGAGGGGGGAATTCAGCATATACTGAAGATGGGCGAGAACCCATAGTGTTCTCTGCACCCTCTTCTGTTTTCTTCTCCATAGAGAACAATGCTGCAGAACCACTGAACAGGACTGATAAACTAAAGGAGTCTGGGGATGGCTTTGATGGAAGCATACTTGGCAGGTGCAAAGTCAAGGATGTGATTGTGGCTCTGGGTTGCCCCATGACAACCACCCAACCAACAACCAACCAACCAACCAACAACCAACAACCAACCAACCGACCAACCAACCAACAACCAACAACCAACCAACAAACCAACCAACCAACCAACCTCCAAAGTCTGCCCAGAAGCCAACTTGCCACAGCTGACCCAAGAACAGGCAAACGCTTTTGGAACTATTCACACAAAGGGACTAAAGAGCAGAAGAATAGCCTCATCCCCATCATTCCCCACGCAGCAGCAATCAGAGAAGGCACACTAGGGTCTGCCACCATCCCAATGTTGCTCAAAACGTCAGGCAGGCGACTCTATTAATGGAAGGGGCTGATGGGGAAGTCCTGTGTATATGTCAATAAAGCACTGTTGGCCAATAGGGAAGCAAGATAGGTGGGACTAGGAGTCCAGGACTCTGGAAAGGGGAAACACAGGGAGTCAAGATGTAATCTCCACAGGGGTAAGAAGCCCGGACCCTTTTCTCTGGTAAGAGACATACTTAGATTAACAATTATGGGGTAAATATGGGGTAAAGTCAGAGCTAGCCAGTAAGAAACAAGCAAGGCCAACAGCTTCATAATTAATACAGCGTCTTGTGTGTTATTTGGGGACTACAACGCGGCAGAGCCCAAGCGACTGGTGGGGAAAAACCAAACGGCTGGCAAGGAAAAGGCTTCTCTCTACAAGGGGCAATCCACCTCTGCAGCTGGTGATCACACAACCAGGAGCCAGAACCTTGTGGAGAACTCGCTGTCATACTCAGCAACTGCTACATTCTGAGTGATCTATGCAACCCAACCCATGCACATCTTGTGGTAAATAATGCAAGCCCTAGCCCCCAGAACACTGGTGCTTGGATATGGGTGTTTGGATGGTAATTAGACTAAATGAGGTCAAGTGGCATTTACAGGAAGACATCCCCAAGTGCCTGCCATCTTCTTCTGCATTGTATGTAAGGACATGGTAAGAAGTCCTCACCAGAACAAGGCACTACTTTGCCTGTCTCTGGAACTCAGAAACAAATGCCTGATGTTAAGTCCCAGTGCCGTGGCATTTTAAAATGGCAGCCTAAAGAGAGTAACACAGGCTGGGTGTTGGTGGCGCACGCCTTTAATCCCAGCACTCGGGAGGCAGAGGCAGGTGGATCTCTGTGAGTTCGAGGCCAGCCTGGTCTACAGAGTGAGTACCAGGACAGCCTCCAAAGCCACAGAGAAACCCTGTCTCGAAAAAAACCAAAAAAAAAAAAAAAAAAAAAAAAAAGAGAGAGTAACACAGGGTCTCTCTTAAAAGGGCTCTTGGTCAACTAAACTCAAGGAGCAGAACTTGGCAAGTTTCATCTGGCTACATAAAATCAGCAGTGCTTTCCTCCAGAGAAACCTTCCAGACTCTGGAACTCAGAGGCTCCCAGGTGGACTAGATTCCAGAAGGTGAGCCTGCTCTGCATAACAGCTGCCTCAATGTTTCAGAAATAAAAAGAGATAGTGTAATAACACATGCCACACCCCATGAGTCTTAAATACTGAGTCAAAGAAGCCAGTGACAGGAGACTCCATGTAATGGGAGTCTACAGAGAGCAGAGAGGTGGCTGCAGGAGGTGTCAGGGTGATGTAGGCTCTGTTCTAGGTGACAGAATGGACTGTGGTGGTGGATATGCCCATCTATGCATACACTGAAAGCCGCTGAATTGTATGCTTCAAATAGGAATTCACAACATGTAAATTCTAGCTCAATAAAGCTGTTATATTTAAAAGGAAACAGTGTCTTACAAAGAAAGACATGAGAATAAATGTTCTAAATCCAAAGAGAACTGAGACATATAACCAAACTTCATATATATGCCAAGAATTACGTGATGTGTGGTTCTTCATTGGACAGTAGTAAAAACAACTGATATGGGTCTGGAGAGATGGCTCAGTGGGATAAGTGCTTGGTGTGAGTACACAACCGTCTCAGTTTGGAACCTCAGCACCCACATAAAAGGCAAGCATGGAGGTACGCACCTGCTACTGCAGCACTGGCAGCGGAAACAGGCAGAGTCCCGCAGCTCTCTGGACCGCCAGCCCAGACACAACAAGCTCTAGTTCAGTGGGAGACTGTGTCTCCAAACACAAGTGGAGAAGTGCTAAGAAAGACACACACACACACACACAGACACACACAGACACACACAGACACACACAGACACACACAGACACACACACACACACACACACACACACACACACACACACACACACACACACCCCTGAGCGATGCATGCTTAGCACTTGAGAGGCAGACACAGGAAGATTGTTTCTAGTTCAAGGTCAGCTGGGTCTATATAATGAGTTTCAGACTAGCTAGAACCACATAGTGAGAACATGTCTCAAAAAATAAAACATAAAAATTACAGCAATTCATGGAAGCATTTTTGAGATAATCCCCTGAGTCTGGCCCTCCAGATAGGTATCAGAGCCCTGTGGGCCTGTGAATGCTTTTGTGTGATAGGGAGTTTGGAGCACGCCTCTGTTTCACAGACGATGAAGTCCAAAGCTTCACTCAAGTTCAGCAAAGAAAAAGAGATGAAAAGAAGACGAAGAAAGACCCATGGCTGTCGCACAGGCATGGAAAACCCTGTGACTCAGGGTTGGCCACCAGTCTCACCTGGGTTGTCTTCTTGCTGGCTGGCATAGCTGAGGACCTCCTGGCAGAAGTACTTCCGTTCCTCCTCCGGCAAGTGCTGGTCACTGGCTAGAAGGCTGCTGGTCTGCAAGTAGCTGAAGTGGAAGAGTTAAGAACAGCAGGGAGGACCTCCCAAGGAGGATGCCTGGCCAAAGGGGCTTCAAATGTCCTTTCTTGCCTTCAAAGTACGGCCCAAAGGAGAGCTGTCTTTTTTTTTTATATTATTAGAAACTCAGATTATAAAAGAGTGGGCACTTGGTCTATGCCCTACAGGACACCCAGTGAGGCAGAGCCTCTCTTTCCCCTATGATTAAGAGCCGCCAGCACACTCTGCTGTGAGGAATGCCACCATACAATTAGTCTTCTTGTTTTATGACAATATTGGACTCAAAGGATACTTTTCCATTTGCCCAAGGCGTTTTTGGCACTCGGCTAGCTGCTTCCTTGTGTGTGTGACAGGCAGGGCCCAGCCCTCAGCCAGGTAATTTTTCAAAGCTCCCTGAAGATACATTTCTGCCTTCTGTGGCGACCTTTTCCTCCTTGCAAAGTTAGCAAACAGAAGCTTGTTAGGCATCACAAGGGCCAGCATCGCAGACCTCCACATGACACTCGCATGTCCACAGTCCCCCCTCACCCCCCCACTCCCTCCACCCCGTGAGGAAGCCATAAAGGACTGCCAGGGCACCGTGCAAGCAGTGGATTCATGATGATAACATGCTGTTGCTCTGACATCTTGACACTAGCATAGGTCAGCTATGGCTGGCCAGAAACAAGCTAGTTTTTGAGTCTGAGAACACCAAAGATAAGACAAGAAATACCAGGAGAAAGGCTTACTAGGTTCAAGGAAACCACAACAATGCTCAGAATAAAACCAAATTAAGTTTACAGTGCAAATTCGCCAGGACCTGTTATACTTCTGGGAGCTTGGGGCTCTCATTCCTTCCCCAGAGGCTAGGACGCTGGGCTAGCCAGGAGTCAATATTGCCAAGGTCTACAGGGCATCCTTGGGGAGGAACCTCTATTTCCACTACTCCAGACATAATCAGAATTCATAAGTCCCAAATTAATGTTTCTCAAATTAAGTAAAATTTAAACTCAACACCAAAACATACATATTTTTCTGGATTCTTTTGGTTCTGCAAATCCCAGTTTTTGCTTTTGTAAAGATCCAGAATTTTCTATACCTCTTCATTTATAACCTCTAGTGCTAGAAAGCACTCTAAATCTTGGAATCTTAACAAGAAGAGGGGGGCCAACTGCCATTCAGCTAGTATGTGGCCAAGCTCAACTGGGTCTCCAGGTCCTAACCAGCAGGCTGGTGCCTAGCATTGGGATTCTGTGCCTCTGGATTCTGCAGGGGTCAAGTGCATTAAAAGAACAGCACCCAAAGACATAGCTTTCCCCCAAATGCAGGAGTGGAACATGACTCCTTGAACTTGCTCACAGCTGCAGCCCCCCATGAATGAGCTGGTGAGGGATGGCTACTCCGGAAAACATGGAGTCACTTAGGCATCTACAAGCTCCTACCTAGCAATCCCCACCAGTTCTTTTTGTTTCATCTACTAAAGCACAGATTTCAAAACGTTGTTTCAAGCACACAGCTCCCCTTCCCCTTTGTAATTGCTGTTTCTTTGCACAGCTTTGAAACCGAATCCCACTGTGCTAGGCTAAGCTTGCTTTTCTTCAGCAGACCATTTTTATCACATGCAAACTCTAATGCTACGGCAGGTTTCTGTGCTCACTCCCAGCTCATCCCTCCCACCTGCATCCAGTGGTTTGAGATACATACACTCTAGAGAAAGACTGCATGACCAAGTACTGTTCACCGACCTGCAAGCAGGCTCCCAAATATTTCTCATTATCCATTAAAGTTAATTAAATATAGCAGGTCAAAGATCAGTAATAACCCTTAAGGTCATAATCCAAAAACCACCCTATGTGGTTCTGGAAGAAACTCAAAGACAAAACGATGACTGGCTAATGGATTCTACCTGCTCCCATCTACCAAGTGATGCGAACTTTACACTAATTGTATATAAATCTTCTCATATGTGTGTAAAATGCTTAAAATCAAAGAGGTCACCATCAGTTACATGTAAAATTCTGCCAGATCTTTTCCAACGAGCTTAGCAGATCGAATCCTCCCAATACTTGTATACATCTCAATGGTAGCATGGGACAAATCCTGTGGAAAAGTAAAAAAGAAAAAAAAAAACACACAATTATGTACAAGTTTATTTATTTATTTATTTATTTTGGTTTTTGTTTGTTTGTTTGTTTTTACGAGACAGGGTTTCTCTGTATTGTTTTGGAGGCTGTCGGTCCAGCCTGGCCTCGAACTCACAGAGATCCGCCTGCCTCTGCCTCCCGAGTGCTGGGATTAAAGGCGTGCGCCACCACCGTCCGGCCACAAGTTTATTTTTTAAGGTTTTTTTTTATTACAAGTATGTGGGTGAGGGTATGCGCCTGTGTGCAGGTGCCCGAGGAAGTTAGAAGCGGCGGATCCCCCTGGAGATAGTGTTACAGGTCATTCATTCACTATGGGTCCTAAGAAAAGAACTTGGGTCCTCTGCACAAACACTGCATGTTCTTAACCACTGGAACCCCCCTGTAGACCTGTGCCTGAACTTTTAGGGCATACCTTACACTTACTTTACCCAGTGCTGCAGCAAGACACTGTGATTAACAGTTCTCACCTGGTCTCTACCTTCGAACGTCACGTGACATGCCGTCCTTTCCATACAAAGTCAGTAATTTGTGCGTGTGTCATGAAGCACGTGACAAAAGACAGCCATGCACTCACACAGCCCAGCCCACTTAGCTTCCTCCCTGCTTCTGTCTGTACACTCTTGGGAACACCATCACAACAGACTGGCAGATGCTTCCCAGTTCACGCTCTACCTTCATTACTTCCTGGAATCTCTCAAATTGAACCTCTAAAACCAAGCATGATAGCTCTGCCCAAGCACAAATGGGCACTTTTAACAAAGAAAGGTATTCATTATCTGTTCTTACAGCTTCTGTTCACTAAAGGGGAAAGCCTATGTTGAGCAAAATTTTAAGTATTTCAATGTTGTATTTGTGCCCAATTATGGTATCGGGGCACTGAAGAACGTGAGCAGTTACCCAGCTTTTATACAGAGTTCCCCAGTGTTCCACACAAACTATCAGGGCCAGCATTAAGGGGTCATCCAATTCAGAAGGCCATGCTGAAGAACAAAGCCAGCTAGGACAGAGTGGCTCTGTGGGCAGAGCGGGACTCTTGCCATACTTACCAAGTAGTGCTTTTCAAAGGCTTCCACTGATGACAGGGCTTCCTGGAGTTTCTTATAAGGACTCTGAGCTGTGTTGGCTGAAACACAAAGGTACTAAGTGTCCTTACTCAGCAGGAGCATGAGTGGTATTATGTGTCACACTCACTTTCAGTCCTCAGAGTGGCCTCACCCAACTCTTACAGGAATCACGAAATCACTAGCTTTATTGTGACCCACCTTATGATGACTATTCCTTTCCAATTTATGAGACAGCCCAGGACCTTCCCATAAAACTGCTCTCTGAGATGCGGCTTCTCAGAAACACTCAGATGGGGAAGTGACTTCCGAGTGGAGCAACAGAGACCCACACACTTGCCCTGAGTCCCGTGAGCTCTCTCACTTCAGGTATTCTCCATACCTGTTTCTGGTCTCTCAGCTCCTAATCCCGCCAAAAGATCAACTGTCCTGTTGAGATCTTCTGAGTTGGGTCCTTTTTCTGACACAAGTCCACATAGGTACCCTAAGGACTTCAGCTGTTGAGGGAAACCCATAATTTCAGTTTGGAAATCAGCAGGCAATCCACAAATGTAGTAAATATGTAAACCAGACTCCTGCTCTTTGTGGAAGAAACTTAGCTTTCTTTCTTTTTTATTATTTTAATTTTAAATAGCTTGTTTAACATGTCAATCCCAAACTTAGTTTTCTTATCTAAATGACTCCCACCTGAATTTTACAGCACATCTTTCGGGATTGCGGTAGGCTCACACCTTTTCCAGGTTAGTTCCACAACAGAGCTGAGGCTCTTAACCCTGTCTCTGTCATTCAGCTAACTATGCCCCACTTTTTAAACTACTACTCTATGTGTAGCCCCCCCCCCACAGTCCCTGCCCCTAAGTCCATCCACAGCACACACTGGCCCACACATGCATTTCTACATGCCCACTGCATCTTCTTATCTGAGTATCCCTGACACTGACACTTTCTCACTTGTCATCTGCTAAAGAAACTATGACCCCATGGCTGTGTCCAGACACACTGTAAGGACCTGAGCGCATCTAAACTAGTCTAAATAAGCTAGATCTCTCCAAACAGCCCATACTATCTGCCACACAGGCCCCCTGGAAACAATGCAAACACTTGGCACACAGCAGCAGGTACCTTTTCCATTGCATAGCTCCACAGCCCCACCATGTGGGCAATGTTGGAGTCTATCTGGGCCCGGTCACAGCAACCTTCTATCCTCTGCAACACCTCCAGACAGCTCAGAAACACCCAGCAATCCAGAGCACCGGGAGGGACAGAGACCTGTGAGGCACAAGTAGGGTAGATGAGGGTACGATGAGCACAAACCTATGTACTCAGAGCTTTCAGCCCTCAGACAGTGTCATATGGCCATGACCCACAAAGTACAGAAGGATAGCCTATCACAAGCCAGAGACAGGAGAGAGCTGTGTACAAACATATTTTTGAGCCTAGCTTGTATATAATTTTCAGTTACTTAATTTTAAAACCTTATTAAGAAAAGTCTATGGGAACTTGAGAGTTGGCTCAGAAGTTAAGAGCACTTACTACTTTTTCAGAGGATCCAGATTCAGTTCCCAGAACTCACATAGTAGTTCATGACCCCCACAACTCTAGTCCCAGTATCCAATGCTCTCTTCTGGCCTCCAAGGGCACCAAATACACATGTGGTGCACAGACATACATGCAGGCAAACATTCATACATAGAATATAAAAAAACAGACAAATGCCTATGAACAGCTGTCACCTGGCTTAGCATGAGGACTGATAATGGAGGGGAACACCAGAACCTCAGGTGACTTTATGGTCACAGTAACAACAGACTGTTCAACAAAGCAGAAGGGACATACATGGCACTCAACAGATCAAGTGGTGTTAGAATTAAGGAATTCCTATAGCTTAGGCAGATGCACACTGGAACACGCATGACAGACTCCATACAACATCCCGAGTTCGCCTGGAGCATCATCATAATGTTGACAACCCCAAGAAGGCCTCTGGACTACAAAAGCACATACCTTTTACAATCAACTCTAAGTTTCACCTTCCCCCAATTTGTGAAACAGAAATATGCCCACCATTGATGACTGACATGGTTTATCTTGTAGCTGATAACTTAGTTTTGGTGAACATGCTACTTGGATCTACTTAAAGTGACCATAAGTGAATTCTGCACTGGTGGCTTGAGACAGACTCCCAACAGCCTCCTTTCAGAACCCCAGAGCCTAGACAGTGAAGAATCTGGAAGAGACTCGAGAACTAGGAGTGACATCGGTGTTGCTGTAGGTGACAGCATGGCCATTTTCTGAAGGGTGGGATTACTCACTTGCATCCTAGCACAGTTGCATGGTTTTCATCCCATGCAGGCCACACTCAGGGCTCAGCACTAAGACCCCATAGGAGCATGCCCTCAGGAGGGCAGCATCTCCACTTCTCACGCTACGATGAACAGGGGGGGTCTTCACTAAGAGGCATCATCACTACAGGCTGCAAGTCTGTAAGCCTAAGTGAACATGCCCTCTCCCCTGCACTCACTGGAGCAGGACAGCACAGGGAACCACTACAGCAGAGTCCCTCCACCAGTGTCATCATGGGTGTCCAGGAGAATCATGTTTCACCGTGGAGAATTATTTCTCCTACTTATATATAAGAAAAATAATTGGGTAAAAAAATAATTGGGTGCCGGGTGGTGGTGGTGCACGCCTTTAATCCCAGCACTCGGGAGGCAGAGGCAGGCGGATCTCTGTGAGTTCGAGACCAGGCTGGACTGACAGCCTCCAAAACAATACAGAGAAACCCTGTCTCGTAAAACCAAAAAATAATAATAATAATTGGGTAAAAAGGAGGGGGTACCATGGAGATGGCTTAATGGGTAAGAATGCTTCCACTCAAAGCATAAGGCCCTGAATTCAAAATGGTGAGCTTCCAGTTCGGTGAGAGGCCTTGTATTATTATTATTATTATTATTATTATTATTATTATTATTATTATTATTATTATTATTATCATCATCATCATCATCATCATCATCATTATTCATTAATAATATTATTATTGTATTTTATGCAAAAGAGTGTTTTGTTTTGTCTGTATGTATATATCATATGTGTGCCTGGTACCCACTGAGGCCAGAAGAGGGCACTGGACCTCTTGGGACTAGAGTTATAGATGGTTAAGAGCAGCCATGTGGTTCTGAGAATCAAACCTGTGTCTTCTGGAAGAACAGCCAGCACTTTTAACTGTGGAGCCATCATCTCTCCAGTCCCAAGAGACTCTGTCTTAAAGAAATACGGTAGAGAGCAATAGGCACACAAACATGCACTTTTCTCACACACATGTCCACAAAATGCATAAAGCTTTTAAGATTGTTTCAAAGACAGCTCGGGCCTGTCATTTAGTATTGCTACATATTATGAAATACTGCCTTATCAACACTGTAGCTGATGGAGCAAACTCACACCTATGTCCGGAATAAGCGTCTCCCATGGCTCATGTTTTGCAGTGTCCTCCAGCTGGCAGCACTACCTGGGGTCCAGCTGGAGAGTAGGTCACTAGGGGCAATCTCTCAAAGGTCAGAGACTGGCCCCCAGCTCTGGCTTGTTCTGTTTCCTGACTCTGAGATGTGAGGAACCTCCAGCAGGCTCTCTCACTGTCACGATGGATGAGCCAAAAGAATTTGCTCTAAGCTGACTGAGGCAGTTCTTCACAGCAAGGGCAATGTGACTGGTGTGCCTCTCCTCGTGTTATCAGGGCCTCACAAGGACTCTCCCCTGGGGAGCCTGCAGCAGCTCATGAGGTGACAGGCCCTGGTGATGAAGGTTATGTAACAGTATCCTATGGCCCTAGGCAAGACACCTTGGAGGTCTCAACTGAGAAATGGTGCTGTGAATCTAACCTAGTATGTGTGCACATGTGAATTTTCTGGGTGAAGAGGTCTCTGAACCATCTTACTAAAGTGTGCATGACTCCAGGAAGGGAAGAGATCAGTAGCCCAAGGTGAATTATCCTCAAAGGGATTAAGGCATTTCTATCACTGCAGGATACAATCACCCCTCCCTGCCACTCACTGGCTTCCTCACACACCCACAGGGTAAGTGGGGAGAAGAGCGACTCACTTCTAAGAGCTTCAGCTCCTGCACACAGCTGTGCAGCAGCTCCAGGGCTCGCTGAGCCACCTCCCATGGCCGCTGCAGGAAGAGGAGCAAGGTACACTGGCGGGAGAACAGGTAGCTTCGCAGGTCCAGCAGTGTGGCTTCTTGCCTCTGTATCAGCTCCCGCTTCTCCATGTCTATGGGCTTGCGGAGCACCAGTCCATTCCAGCTCTTCACTGGCTGGCAGAAAAAAGTCAGCCAGTTGGCACCATCTAAACAAACACACATCATGAAAGATGCTGACTGCAGGCACTTCACCTAACTAACACTCCTGCCCAGCCCCAGGACCTCCAGGTCTCATGCAGGAGCAGGCAGCTTCTAACCAGCTATCCCTGGACCCCTGCCCCACCAATCATCTGGTGCTTTGAGATGGGGTGGCTCCCATAAACACACCCATTTGGGTCATGGCATTGGTGGCCAAACACAGTACATAGCATCCTACCACACCCAAGAGGTCCTGGGTAGGCATACAATGAGTAAGGCAGCCACCCTGATGCTCACAAGCTGTAGAGCATCAGTAACCGCAGTGAAAAGCACTGGGCTGCCTTACTTGCCTTATTCACTCCGTAACTCCTCCTCCCAGCTCCCTGCACAGAGGTACTAGAGGACAGGATGAAGGAACAGGGAAGAGGGTGCAAACAACCAGAGGAAAGGCACTTCCGTCAGTGTCCCAACAAGTCCCCAAGTCTCAGTTACAGCCTTGATTCTAAATAAGAATCTATGGGGCTGGAGAGATGGCTCAGTGGTTAAGAGCAATTGTTATTCTTTCAGAGGACCCAGGTTCAAATCCCAGCACCCACAGGGCAGCTCATAGCTGTCTGTAACTCCAGTTCTAGATGATCTGACACCTTCACATACATGCAGGCAAAACACAACTGTTCATAAAATACAAATAAAAACTATATAAAAAGAGAATCTATAATGACGAGTTATTTCATCTGTATGATTTAACCTCACAGCCACTCCATGCTCAACCTAGTGACTGACATCATTCAACAGCTGACATGTCAACCATAGCTTCTACCCTCCCTGACCACAACCACTGTGATCTTCTAAGTGGAGCTGCTGCATCGAGTCTGGGTGACACTACACAGGCAGTTCCCATTGTCTGATTGGGTGTTCTATGGTCATTGCCTTGCTCTACTCAGGACTCTGAGCAGATGACACCTCCCCGGGACATCACTGCTTCCTTCATACACAATGACAAGGGTCTTAAAAACATGTCTAGCTTAGCCTGGGGATCTGGAGGGCAAGCAGAAAACAAACCAAAGTGTAGCACCAAGGCCCATCTGAACAGTATGTGAATACCCTTTATGATTTGCATAAACAACAGCAAACGATTAACTGCAGGACAAACAGACTAGCTGAAATGAAAAGTAGGGAAACCATTGAGCAATGACTTGGTGGTTGAAACATCTACTCACCCCCGGCCCCAAAGTTGACCACATACTGCGAGAACAGGGCATCCAGCTCATCATACTGTACCAGGGCATCTTCAAACTGCTGCAGCATCTCAAAGACAAAGGCAAGTTCCTCCTGTCATCAAAAACACCAGTCAGCTCCTGAAGCCACATCAGCCGTGGAGAGCAGAGCGTACTGTGAAGGAGGTCGGGCCAATGAGCACGAAGGCCGGCCTCCACAACACCACAGCAGTGCTCATTAAAAAAGGAGGACGGAGAACACATGGGAGAGGGAGAGACCAAGCCCAGCTCTAGCCTTCCAGCAGCAGCGCTGCACACAGCAGCACTGCACACAGCTGGTCACAGTGGTTCCCATCCCAGTGTCACATCATAGCCCAGCCTCTCGCTCACCCAGGCACACAGCTGTCTCTTCTCTCGAGCAGGAATGTTCACTCTTCCTCCTGATCCCCACACAGCACAGCTTCCTCTTTGGCCTCTCCCAGGCTGTTTGTGCCCCGTGTTCTGACAGGTTTCTACTTGAGGCCCTAGCACTCCTGCCCCATAGCTATTGATGCCTTCCTTCTCCAGTCTGACCAGTGGATTCACAGTAGATTCATGGAAGTGATGTGTAGACATCACCCTGGCACTGATGAGTTCAGCACAAACAGCTGCGTACTATTTGATGAATGAAATAATGAACAGAGATAGTCAGGAGTGACTTTTTTCCTGATTTCCATCACTGTAATTAAATTTGCTTTACTGTAGAGCAAAAGCCAGAGAGAAGGTCAAACACATCTGAGTAAATCCATACTGATGCAATCATCCACCTCCTGTGGCTGCAATCACTGTTCTCACGGCCTGGAGCTCCATATGGCACTCGCTGGAAAGGGATCAGGACCACAGATGGAACCCACAGCCCACTTCAGATCCAGACTCTAGCCTCATCAGATCTCCCAGTTGCAGCTGGGTTGACCAGAAGTCCAGGCCTTGGGATCCTCATCTGGCTCCTCATTGCATAATAAAGTTCCCTATGCAGGGCTTCTGTATGAGGATTAAACTCCTGCCTGCAAATGCAGCACACTCCCGGCACAGTAACCAGGCTGAGTTCAGTCATTACCTGTAACCCAGGGGAAAGCTGCAGGGAAACAGCTGGTCTGACCTTCGAAGCCCAGGACCCTCTCCAGTTCTGTGTCTTGCTGCCTCTGAAAACATTGCTGGACAGTGTCTCACAGACACTGCTGAGTCTCCTGACTTCTCCTTCTCCCCTCCCCTCCCCTCCCTTCCCTTCCCTTCCCTTCCCTTCTTTTTTGTCAAGTGCTTTGCAAGCTGAACACTGCAATAAATTAATCTTTTTCAATTGTGATATTTGATTTTCCTTTCAAGATAGACTCTATTTGGCCCAGATGGCTGGCTTCAAACTTGTAATCTTCCTGTCTCCAGTCTCTCTAATACTAGGATTACGTGCCTAGTTTGTCTACACCAGCTTAACTACATATCAGTATAAGATGCATCCACACTTATGTTCAAGCAACATCCATAACTTTTCATCCCCTCAACTTGCAGATCTGTTACTACACAACTTGACCATTCCCTCCATGGCCTTGGTAACCTCTCTTCATGGCTGTGTGTGAAATAGGCTGCTCCAGGAAGCTTGTGTAGGCATGCAGCAGTATCCTGTGCAGGCTCCTTTCATTGAGCACAATGTCCTCACGCCATGACATGGCATATGTTGTGCTCTTTCCCCATTCACTCCATGACTGCTTTCTTGGCTTTCAACCTGACCTACTTTTAGACTTATAGAAATGTTGCCAAGAAAACAGTGGTTTGTACAGAATTCTTAGTCAGCTTCCTGCCACAATAAACACCTCACATAACTGTAGTACCAGTCTCAGATTCTGAAATCACTGTTTGCACAATACTATTAACTAGACAGACCTTACTTGAATTTTCATGAAATTCATCCATGCACCTAACCCTTACTCTATGTGTATGGGTGTTTCGCTTGCATGTATGTCTGTGTACCATGGACATGCAGTGACCAAGGAGGCCAGAAGGTGTCAGTTCCTCTTGGAGGTGGAGTTACAGACAGGTGTGAGCTGCCATGCAGATGCTGAAAATTAAACCCAGGTCCTCTGCAAGAGCAGCCAGTGTTCTTAACTACTGAGCCATCTCTCCAGCTAACTCTTCAGCAATCCACCCACTCTTCTACCCACCTGCCAATCTACCCACCTATGCATCCACTGTGTCCATTCTCCCACCCATCCATCCACCTGCCCACCCAATCATGTACGTATCCATCCAAGCACCCATCTATTCACCCTTCCATTGTGTGTGCTTCAAACTGACTTCCACCCTAATCTAGCCATTCCCCTTCCTTCTCTGTAATTCCCAGACTAAGTTAATAAGCTTCAAAATGAGGAGATGGGGCCATCAGAAAGGTGTCTACAATCACAGAGAATGATAAGCACAGTCAAATCTCCTCACACGTCAACCTTCCTAATCTCCTTAGATGCTTCAGAATAAGAAATAAAACCCAATTCCTAATGAGAATGGGTCTTCTATTTATTCAAAATATGTCATTTCTTCAGCAATGAACACAGCTGATATCAAAACATGACGCTTATGCGCTCCCAGTCAAAAGATGGTGAAGAAAAGCAGAGATCCTAAGACAAGACCCCAGTCCCTGCACTACTACAGCTCTGCATCCCATGGAGCCCACACCCATATTTCCTCTATGTACCCAAGAATTTTCCCCTTCAAAAACAAAAGGCTGATTGTAAACAACAGTTTCAAAAGCCTAAATAATTTGGTGAATTCCAATAAAGAGCCAGCTAAACAGAATCCTTTACTGGAGCCACGGGATGTTCCCAGAAACCCTCCTCAGCCACACTCTGAACAACGGTAAACCAGCACATCCATATCAGTCATTCCCCAATGCTGGCGCCCCTGCCTAACTCACAGCAGACTTTAGAAGTAAGTCCCTGTGTCCAAACAAAACAAAGACGAGCCAGTGACCAGAACACAGTGGGGCAGTTTGAGCTGTGAAGCAGCAGGAGACCTACTTACAATGGGAACACCCACTCTGCTACATGGTTGGCTCAGAACGCCAGTAGGAACTGCCTGAGAGCTGCAGTCAGGAGGGCGCCAGTACCTGAACCATGAAGTATTCACAGAAGCTCCAGCCTGGCTCTGTTCTCTTCTCCCTCAAGGTCCGCATGTCATCCTCAAACTTGCCGAGGTTTTTGGTGAAAGACATGAGCAGCAGTGTCCTGAGTTTGGTCAGGAAGGCATTCCAGGATTCCTGAGTTCGAGAAGAGTCCTTCAAGGGATCAGACAGCACAACACACCTGCAAAGACATGAAGGGCAGTCTGGAAAACCTTGGGGTACACCACACTTGCTCAGCTGAGCCTCCTTCCCAATTCCCCACTGCCTCTCCTGCTTTCCTTCTTCAATCAGGGAAAACCCTCAGGGAGGGGCCAAGCAGTTCACTGCCGCTTGGGCAGGAAGCACTGCAGAGGGCGCAAGGAAAGTCTGCAACAGAAGGGACAAGAGTCAGGATGGGACTAAAAAGCAGTGAGCCTGCAAGGCTGTTGTGATACAGGAGCCACACCTCCCACAGCTCCACCCCTTGTTCTCACATGCCTCACAACTCCACCAGCTCCTATGGCAACACAATGGAACTGAGATGTGTCATCTCGGGATGGGGGGACCACAGTCCGACTGCAGCACAGGCAGGGCTCCAGTCTGGGTCACTGAGCGTGCCACACCCTTCTCGTTCCTCCAGTACTCTTTGTGCACCTGACATCTCTTCCCCGCTGAACCCACTCCACTGCTCAGTGAAGTACGTCCTGAGAGACCCCTGCACTGAGCCCTAGCCCTCCCCGTAGATACGCTTCTATCACCACACTACAACTCAGTAAGACTGAGACACAGGACAAATACAAATGACAGACAGGTGTGATGTAATTTAACTGCTAGGAGACTATACCCATGATGCAAACAAACCTAAACTCAAATGATTTTAAAATCTTGATGCAATGGGCAGCAACGGTCCTTAAGAAAAATTTTATCAAATTGTTAACAAACAGTGAGATGAACCAACTCTGTGTTCCAACATATCCCCTCAGGGAACAGCAGCCTCCATGCAACCACCAAAAAGGTAAGGCAGCAGAGAAAAGCCGTCACTATCCTCACCTACCCAGTAAACACTGATCCCTCCCAGAGGGAGAGTCCAGGGCCAGCCCCGAGGTCACCTCCCAACAGGAGCTGCTATATATCTGTCAGTTCAGCACTTACCCTACTCACTCCAGGAGCGCCAAATGCCAGCACCCTTGCTGAGCAGCACAGCTTCCTGTGGTCCCCACCCTGCAGGGATGGAAACCTACAACACTGCTCATGAGGCAGAGCTTTCTTTCCTTCAGCAGCCCGCTGCCTACCCACCAGCCCCCACGCTGCATTACACTATCATTTCCTTATTCCTTCCTCACTAGGCCTTTCAACCTAGATCTCTAGATGTTTGTGCTAATCAGGAAGGCAGGGTCCAGCACAGCTCCTGATGCAAGGAATGAAGACTGATCAGGAGGCCAGCAGTGCCTCCCAGGGCACAGAACACCAGAGCAGCTGCTAACAGGGGCACAAGGGACACAAGGGAGGAGGAGTGACAAGGAGGGCCTCACACACTGATGCTACCACCATCTCAAACAATCACCGGGCCCACATCTGACTCAGCAGTATTTTGTCAAAGGTTTGAAGAATGCACAGAACCCGTAACCAAGCAATTTCCCTTTAAGGAGTTTATCAGAAGGAAATAGTTAAGGACATTCATAGTATCTGAGCTGGAAAGATGTGCACAAAAGTATAATAACAGTTAACTAAACAACAGCCCAATAGTTCTTGAGGTTTCTATAAATAACATGTGGCTTATTAATGTAGTACACTATTATGTTCTGACTAGCCATAATGGGACAGGGATACACTGTTCATGGACAACGACAATGTACTAAGTGACAACAGTAGGTATCAATGTTGCACAGGGAAGGACAATGCTCTAAAGACACACAGAGGAAGAAACATTCTGCCCTAGGCTACTTTCCCACCTACTTTATACAGCCTGCACTTCCTGGCCCATCCCAGCCCCAGAGCACCTCCTTCAGGCCCCCAAAGCAGGCTGGCTAAACTCTTACAGGCTCTTGCCGCATGGGAACCCTCCACTGGGGGTAGTGACCATGGAAATGACAACCTGTAGCATCAGGGTAGGGTCCAGGTTCCAGTGCCAATCTGTGAGACCCACACGTGGTCAGCACATGGCCAACTGGCCAACTGGGCACAGCTAAGGAGAGGAAGTTAGAGCAGGCACAGATGGGCAGTAAGCCATCGCAATGAAGGCATGAAGCTGGTGTTTTGTAACTTCCTTCCAGGAACTTTTAACAAGTGGACTATGAACAGAGAAATGTGTGTCCCACAGTTAAAAAGTTGTTTAGGGAATTCTACACTATTCAAGGACTGATCATCCCCAGGGCCACTTGGCCCAGAAGTCTCTGCCCCTAGGCTACACACTTGGAGATGACCTGCTAGGCCAGGAACTGTAGAGGATGGATGGGGTGGGTGGTGCCCATCACTCCTCTGTAGCTTTCTAGACTGGCTGAGTCAATGGTTATCACTGACAACAACCAAACGGAGTAAAACGCAAGACACACTTACCTGTCACTCTGCTTATTACAAAAGTCATTTCTTATTTTGTCCACAATAGAAGTCCGGGGAAGGATGTTGGTTTTGTTTTTTTTCTTGGCATCATTTTCAACTACCACTATTAACCAGTCCACAGAGCTATGAGCTTTCAGAACATTCTGCCATTTGGTGAGGTCGTCTTTTACCGTAGCTTTGTACACTTCAGTATCCTAAAAAATAAATAAGTCACTGTGAAGGCGAGCTCCCCAGTGCACAGGGTATCAATAACAAAGAGGCACTAGCCACAGCATGTTAACACACCAGGGCAGCCAGACAGTGAACAGGAGCGGGGAAAAGCCCAGAGGCCTGAGCCTAAGTGCCAAGCTCGGTTTCACACCTGCCCCAGCCCCAGCCGCACCTCCCGCATATTCTGGCACCCAGAGGCATGAGATACAGCACCGTGGCCTGAAGAGTTGAGGAGGTCACCTAGGGTGACACTGTCTATAAGTCAGGAGGAGCTTTGGTCAGGCACCATAAAGTCACCACTGTCATGAGTCAACCAGGAGCCTAGCCTCCTGAGAGCTGCCCTGTAGCCCTCTGGGAGCCCTAGGGTCCTGATTCAACCTCAGTACCCCAGTGCTCCACATAAGAGCCAAGGGACCACCTCAACTCCTTCAAGCTGTCCCAGCTCACAGGAGCTGGCAGAAGCTGATCAACTCAAAGTCAGCTCTACTTCTCTCTCCCAGGACTAACCCAAGCGGTCAGAGAAGGCACCCTCCCCAGCAAAGTCAAGGAGCCGCAGCAGATTTCCTTACAATTCCATTTACACTGAGGAAAAAGCTAAAACCAGGATGCAAGGACTGGGGCTGGCTTTTGTGAAACACTTGTCTAGCATATGCCTTAGGTTCAAAGACAACAAAAGATACTTAACACAATTCAAAATTTTGAGTTAATACTTTAGAAACAGCTAGTGTGTAAATACACACCCCCCTTTTAATGTATTCAATGTACTTGTTTTATTTTATGTGAATGGATGGGTGTTTTACCTGCATGTTTGCCTGTGCACTAATTATATGTGTCTATTACCAGAAGAGAGCATTAGATCCCCAAGCACTGAAGTTACAGATAGTTATGAGCCACCTTGTCGGTGCTGGGATCGGGATGTGCAGCCAGTGCTCTTAATCACTGAGCCATCTGTACAGGCCATCCCCTCTGCTTAAACAGTTTCCTCTTCACTGTCTCATTCCAGGAAGTCTTTGGATTTTAAGCCACTCCTCATGCTGATACAGACTTGAGCTAATTTTATTGACTCACCAAAAAGTTCTTCTGTTTTCCGGCCTGGGAAATGGCTCAGCGAGTAAAAGTACTTGTCACCAAGTCTGGTGACCTGAGTCTGATGCTTGGGATTCACATGGTAGAGAGAACCAGCTCCAAAAAGTTGTCCTTTATCCTCCTTACTCATGCAGTCACACACACACACACACACACACACACACACACACACACACACACACACACCGGCCAATCAATTCTTTTTGACTTAAACCACTATGGAATTCTAAAGGCAGTACTTGCAATTTTTTTCATAGTTTTCAAAAACTATGTTCTGGTTTAAATGAGAAACAAATACAACCCCAAAAGATCTTTTACTTAAGAATAGATGAAAAAACAATATACAAAACATGCATATGGGGCATAGACATGCATGTAAATAAACATGCATACACATAAAATAAGAATAGAATCTTAGAAAAAATGACAGGCAGGCAAAGCAGTCAGAACATACCATCTGTAATAAGTAGGAAAGTCAAACAACAGAAAGAGAGCCCAGGATGGCAGGGGATAGAGCCAGAAGACAAACCACTGACACATCTCATGTATGGACAGTGGAAGACTGAAGTCACACTGGCAGGAAGCAGGATTGCACAGGCAACTCATAGAGATAGGCCAACAACGAGTTTTAGAACAAAAACCACACAAACAGACTGATTGACAATGCCGAAGAAAGATGTGTGACCACCAAGACCAGCAGCTGTGGTTAATCCACTGAACGGAGAAATGCTGCGCCCAGTGCAGCTCCACAGGGCTGCAGCATCCATCCGCCACCTGTCACCCTCCATCCCCACGCCCAGAAAGGGAGAAACAGTTTAACAATATTTGAAGAAATGACCACATTTTTCCAAATTTGATAAAAATAATAAATTCAAAGCCAAAACACTATATATATATATATATATATATCCCCAAATACACTGTAATTATCCCATTAAAAATAATGATCAAGAAAAAATATCTGAAAGAGCCAAAGGGAAAAAAGGTGATCTGTGCACAAAGCAATGGAAACAAGATGAACTATTTCTCATGGGAAACAACAGCAACCAAAAGCCAGGCAGGGCTCAGCATCTTCAAGAAACTCTGGAAGACACTGGAGAGATAGATCAGTGGTTCAGAGCACTTACTGCTCTTGTAGAAGACCTGGGTTCAATTCCCAGCACCCACATGGCAGCTCACAGCCACCTGTAATGCCAGTTCCAGAGGATCTATGCTTCGGACCTCTGCAAGCTCCTGCACATAGGTGATGTACATACATACACTCACACATACACACAATAAAATAAAGAAGCTGCAGCAGCTCTGGAAAGAAAAAGACAGCTGGTAAACTACAATTCCACACTCTGTGAAAATATCCTCCAAAAGTGAAGGCAAAATAAGGACTTTTTCATACATTAGAGCAGAAAGAACTGACCACACAGGGACTTGTAGTATGAAAATATAGTTGAAGAAACCCTCCAGTCAGAGGGAACGAACACAATCAAAGACGCAGCTACTAAGAGCTCCCAATGGAACCCTACCTGGGAACAGGGAAGGGCAGGCCTTCCAGTTTTTAACCACTATGGACTTTTTAAAATTGAAACAGTGGCCAGGCGGCAGTGGCACACACCTTTAATACCAGCACTCAGGAAGCAGGGGCAGGCGGATCTCTGTGAGTTCGAGGCCGGGCTGGACCAACAGCCTCCAAAACAATACAGAGAAACAAAGTATTGTGAGGTTCTCAGGAAGTAGGGACCCGTACCAGAACAGTAAGCCTAAGGTTCTCCCTCCAAGACTAAAGGAAGTCTCTGAAGTCAGTGCCACCTTCTGTCAACCTGCTCCAAAGGACCTCTCATAATAAACAATCAAGACTCAGATGGAAATGGTGCTTATATCAACCCTGACAGCCTGGACTGGATCCCTAGGACCCATAGTGGAACAGAGAATTGATGCCCAACAGTTGTCCTCTGACCTCCACATATGTGCCATGAAACAGCCACCACACACACACACACACACACACACACACGCACGCACGCGCACACACACACACACACACACACACACACACACACACACACACACACACACGGAAAAAAAATAAAAAGCCGAGTGTGGTAGCGCATGCTGCAACCCTTGTACTCTGTAGGCTAAGGCAAGGCTGCAAGTCTGATATTAACACAGCATGAACTGCATAAGGAAAGCTTGTCTCAAAAAACCAAAAAGGAAAATGCATGCTCTGTGGGGAGTGATTTTACTCCCGTGTGTGTGTGTTCACGGGTACATAGAACATATGGGTAAACAGAGCTAGGGGGAGGAGGCTCTCTCTCTTTGGGTTTCGGTTTCGACCTGGAGAGCAGCGTGCGGACCTTTCGTGGCTTTTCATGTAAGTGATTTCTCTTTCAATAAATATCATAGGACATCCCTAAATTTGAGTAGTTTAATATTTCTGCTTCAGTGCTCCTTACTGGATAATTTTAATTAAAAGTGAATGTCACTTACAATGACCACAAGAACTAAACTAAACTAAGCAGGGATGGGGGAGTTGGACAATGCAAAGCTCCCATGGCGTTGTGACATAGAAGAACGAACTATATGAAATGGAAGTAGATACTAATGGGGTAGAAACAGACTAATAGTAAGTCAGATTAATGAATTAAAGTTGTGGATGTCTGACAAACTAACCTAATCAAGGAAAGAAAGCACAGTCACACAAAGTAAGAACTGAGAACCAGGAGCCCAAGTCAGAATGGCCCACTTGGTGCAATTCAATGGAAACAATTTAAAACTTAACTAAGACGCACAACTTCTAAGCAAAGCATAGTCTACCAAAATAAACAAATGGCTGAAACAGACCAATTTCGTAGAAGGGAATCCAGAAAGTTTCCAAGGAAGTTCTCACAGGAAGATAGCTGCCTCAGTCTCACACATGGAACACCCACAAACTGTACAGCCAGCAGCTCCAATGCAACATAAATAGTTTCAGAAAAAGAAGATAAACGGAAACTCCCAATTCCTTTTATGACTCAAAAAATTATATTGAGGGGCTAGCGAGAAAGTTCAGAGGTTAAGAGCATTTGTTGTTCTCCTAGAAGACCCGGGCTAGTTTCCCAGAACCCACAAGGCAACTCACAACCATCCTTAATTTGAGTTCCAAGGCACACAAAGCCTTCTTCTGTCTTCTGTGGGCACCAAACATACATGTAGTACATATATACATACAAACATGCAGGCAAAACACACAAATACATTAAATAAAAATAAATGGTATCAGTACTAAAGCCTTATAAAGACGGCACAAAACAAAAGCTACAGACCAACCTTGTATGAACAGAGAGCAGAGAGTTTAAGGACTCCAGTGAGTATTCTCCACTATCAAACTGAGAAAATGAGGCTGGGCAAGAGGGACCTACCCAGGCCTACAGGTCTATTCAGATAGGAGAAACATGCCTAGGGCTCAATGCACTCATAGATACACAGAGGAAATTGTGGGGTTACTTCCACCATGTCCAAAAAGGCCTTTAGGAAAATTAACTTACATTTTCAGTGTAAACCCTTGAAAAAATGGGAGTAGATGCTGTTCCCTCTATATGAGCATGGGCCCCAGTCCCACTGGAGAAAAGCTAGGACACCCATAAAGAAGACTAGGCTAAGGCAGAGGTGGTCACAACCTCTCAACACCAGAGAAACAATTCTACCAGTCAGAACTGAAAAAGTAAAAGGCTTGTTCGATCTCCACCTCCTCTCCTCCCCTCTCCTCCCTCTCCCTCTCTCTCTCTGAACATCACAAGATCTGAACTTGGGGGCCAAGAAAGTCAACAATAAAACTAGTGCATACAATCGAAGAGCTCACCAAGGTTAATATGAATATAAATCAACAGGATTCCTATACATAAAAATGAAAACACATGTAATGAAGCCCCACTCACAATCCCAGAAAAAAAAGGAATGTACCTGGGCTGAGATGCATCTCAGCATTATACACTTGCCTAGCACAAGCAAAACCTGGACTTGATTTCCAGCAGTGCAAAAAATAAATAAAATAAGAATAAATCTGACATTATGAATAAAGGGTTGTGGAGGGAAACATTCACAGGGTAAGTCTGGCACAGTCATCCTATCTATAAGGTGGCTTCTGGCTACATCTGGGGTTTGAACTCCAGGAGGGCTCTCAGGGTTCTGTCAAGTCTATACTATGTGTATGTGGTTAAGAACAAATCTGCTTTCCTTTTCGAGCTCTGGGACAGGCCAGATAGAGGCCCTGTGTGGCCATCCTCGGTAAGAAACATAAATTCCCAGTCTCTAGGGAGCCTGCCTGGTAGACAACGGCTCACACTCACCCCACCCCATGTGACTTCCTGAGGAACAATGCATGGGGCAAAGTGCAGGTGCAATCAGGCACAAGCAAGCCTCGAAGCCCTGCCTTATTCCAGCTACCAAACACTGCTGTAGCCTCAAGTGCAGGCTGAAATCCCAGAGGAAATGGCTTCTGTACTTGCACACTGCTAAGTGCTTATTTTATTACTCAGACCGGAAGAAATAACCCTCAGAACTTCCCCTTAGTTCATGGGCAGGAGAATCCTATCTGAACTCATGAATACACAATTACAAAACAAGCGAGAGGTACGGTGCCAAGCAGAGTAAAGAATGGGGCCTACCAAGTAAAGCTGGGCCTGGGGTGGGGACAAAAGGACCGCGACAACACAAGATGAGCACGTTCAGGTGATTAAACTCTACGCTACCAGGGCTCACAGTCACAACCATGTTGTAGTCAGGGATTCCCCAGGAAAGCCACAATTGGGTGAAGCAGAAACACAGGGATAGCACCACCTGTCTGAGGAACCGACGACACAACACCAAGACAGCGCAGCCCCACACACTGGGTCATGAGGCCACACTTCCACTGAACAGGCTTTCTGCCCCAGCCAGTACTCACACAGCACTCTGTCCAGTAGATGTGGAGGAAGGGGAAGGTGAGCAGGGCTTTGTTCCCTTCTTTGGGCAGCAGCTCCTCCTTGAACTGAACAAAGTTGGATTCCAGGTGAATCATCTTTGGAGCTCGGCCATAGGACCTAAAACAGTTTTTAAAAGTCACCGAGAAAACAATTGAATAACACAGATGGCAGAGAAGGTCTGTGACAATACAGAATTTATTCATATCTAGGACTTCAAAAACATGCTACGCATGAAATAAAACTGGCCAGAAATCCTGCATGGATTGTTACAAACAGCTCTCATGTCAAAGCCCCCTCTCCAGAAGGCCTTTGTTTATCCAACACAGGCACAGCAGCTCAAGGGTCAGTCTGAGCAAGGCTGCCCCGCACTTGTGAGACCAGCACTCTTCCAGGGAAACCAACCCTGGGCTCACTCTGAAAAATGAAGACAGGGTCCCAAGGGTCAAAAGTATGAAAACTTATTTTCACTCTCAAAAGCCCTAATGCTTTTGTGGCCTACTGAATTATTGGTGGAAAAGAACGATATTTGTTTGCAGAGCTCAAATTAGAGTGACACAAGCTTCCCTTTCAACTCATGGAAGCACGAGAGACCCCAGAGGCCACGTGCAGCTCATCTACACATAAGAAGCCCCTGCTGCTTTCCGTAACATACCTTTCCCATGATGCTCTGTGTTTAACAAACCATGATCATACTTATATTCACATTGGGCTTTCTATCTGCAAGCCCTTTACAGTCTGTCTTCTGTGAGAGTAACCACATTTCCTTTTTGCACTGCTTCGTTCTGCTGGTTTCAAAGTTCACAATCTATTTCCATTCTGCTATTGGTTTCATTTTTACCTTAAATCCCCTGAGCTTCACACATCACCTGAGCTAAATGCACTTTCTATTCAGAAGTGGAAGCTTCACTGGGATTCCTTCTTCACTTACCCAGAGAGGCTGCCCCTGCTTCTCAGCTCCTAACAGTCTAGAAATATTTCTGCTTCCAGCAGGGCTTGTGACCAAATTCCATAGGCTCCACATAGCTGTCCCAAGGCCCAGAAGCGCAGGACCCCTGACTGTGGTGGCTCTTGTTCACATGCCTGGACATGAGGCCCTGGAGCTCTGTACAGAAGCAACCTCCAGGCATCAACAAAGGTGGCCAGGAGCCACTGCCACTGTTTGGAGGAGGTAGGACTCTGAGGCATAGGAGGCCAGCTCTGGCTTCTCCCTTGCCTTCCAAGGTTCTTTACTTAACACGAATTTTAGACTGTGGCTGACTTGTGAATCCTCCAAAGCTCCTGTGTGGAGACCTAGTCCATATTTCACTGGTGCTGAGACAGTGCTTCTGTGAAGCAGCATGTATAACAGCCCCAATTTAGAAATGGAGTAAGCGGCCACTGAGGAACAGGCTCATACTTATGCAGTCAAGGGCTCTCATCAGAAGCCATCCCACAATCTCAGAATTCCTGGCCTCCAGAATCATAACTCAAATAAGTTTCTGCTCACGCAAACATCTCAGCCCACAGTGCTCTTTAAAAGCCCTGTCTCTGTGCATATTTGCTAATTAGTCCTTTACACTCATTGACGGGGATTCCAGGAAAGGGAAGAAATAAATCCATGTTGTTTCTCTATTTTATTTTCCCCACAATCTTCCCCTTTGCTTAATGAACACATTTCTTCTTGTCTTTAGGATCGCTAAGTAATGTACTTATTTGACATCTTTTACAGATCACACCATCTCTTCAGGGATTAGCCACCCCCTCCCAAACGTCAATCTGCTCAACTGTTTTCTGCCTTTAACAGCATCAGGACCTTTTAGATGTTGGATAATTTTTTCCAAAGAGCATTCTCCAGCACTGTGTATTTGTTATATTATTAGTGGCTAAATGAGACGCCACACTCACTAGAGAGCCAGGGTGAGACACCCCCTATACCACACTGGTTTTTCATGTTATCGGGCAAAGTGGGCAGTCTGAAAGAAGATGACCATAAGAGTCAGACTTGCACCAATAAGCACACCAACAGGAAACTTCAAATGTTCTGACTAAAATCAGGTCACCTGAACTAGCCAGGCAAAACTCACACATTTTCTACAAGTAATAGCTAGCTCACTAGGACAATTCCCCAAAGATTTTGTCTGGGCAAGTCACTAGGCAACACCCCCCATCCAGTGCCTCGCCCCTATGTGTCCCATCATCTCTCTCTCTCTCTCTCTCTCTCTCTCTCTCTCTCTCTCTCTCTCTCTCTCTCTCTCTCTCTCTCTCTCTCTCTCACACACACACACACACACACACACACACACACACACACACACACACACACACACACACGGTTAGGAGTACCATGGCAACTAGAGGAGTAAGTTACTTAGCTAGCTTTGACCTTCACCTTCTCTTCTATTCTTCATGCTAATTTCCAAGTAACTCCTTAAGAACAATATGAGGACAGTTATGGGAAACACATCTGTAATCTCAGCACCTGGGAGGCAAAGGCAGGAGGAGCATCGCAAGTCTAAAGCCAGCATGGTCTACACAGTGAGTTCCAGGCCAGCCAAAAATACAAAGAGAGTGTGGAGAAGAAAGCAAAGGACGGGGCAGGCGCACGGGGACCCAGGGGGACAGAGGCTCTGGCAGCAGAGCTGTAGCTCACATCTTCTACCTGCAAGTAGATGCTAAGAGTACTGTTTCCTCTGTAAACACCTACACTTTAGATACTGATTAGCCAGGGGGGAAATCAGTCACCATTTCTATACAACAGATCTCTAACTCAAAGAACTGTCATCCAATGTCTAAAACAACTCCCATGCAGGACAAGTGGGATAGTCAGGCCAAGTACTCACATGTCTAAGTCAAGAGGATCACAGGGCTTGCCTAGGCTACAAGTTCAAGGTTGCCCTGGGAAACACAGTGAGAAGTTGTTTCAAAACATAAAGTAAACAGAGGGCTGGGACTGCAGCTCAGCAGAAGAGGACTTGCCTCGTACGTGCCGGTCCCTGGGTGCAGGCACAGTAGTACCCAGTATCACAACAAGAAGAGAAAATCAAGATCCAGGAGTGGTGGTCCAGCCTGTAACCCTAGTGTACGACTCATTACACAGTGGCAGGAGGAATACAAGTTTGAGCCCAGCCTGGGTTGCACAGCAAGTTCAAGGCCAGCATGAAGTACCTAACAAGATTCTATCTCAGAAAAAAATTTTTTCCCTATGAGGTTAGGAAAATCAAGCCCTGGGTCCAATCTCCAGCACCACAAACACAAAAACAAAACAAGCATGGAGAGCCAGCCCTAAGGTCAGGAGGCTGCTCTGCCCTTTGGCCTGCACTTCAGAACAGAGGCCTTTACTGGCCCACTTGCTCACTCAAACACCTGAGCTACACGGAGAGCCCAGCCAAACAGACACCATACCTTCTCCATTCCATCGGTTCCCTTGGAAGCTGCTGGGAAAGTGTTGGGTAAATAGAGGTAAATAAGTTCTGATCTCCAGCACCTACAAGGGAACAAAGTGAAATTCAGTTACATCATTTTAAAATAAATACAGGAGAAATACACCTTAAATGTTTACAATGTTGACACTGCTGGGCAATTTTATATTCAGTAGAGTGGATGGAAAAGCAAGGCTTTTTGGGTCTAATTTAAGTGACTAGTTTCAGGAACCCAGTACTTAACCTGCTATGGCTCTCACAGAGGATGAGGTTGGCCTTGGAAGCCATGGGCCCAGCCTCAGGGGCTCTGTGGCCACTGCTTTCTAATACCACAGAGGAGCCGAAAACTCCATACAAGCATGGGAAGCTGTCCCAACAGTCACTTAGAGCTAACAGCACTGAAACACACCAGCTCCATGTGATTACACAGGGCACCCACGGACATCCCCAACTAAGAGGAGGAAATGAACATGACCCTAACTCTGACTTGGTACTTAATCTGACGCTGTTGAAGTTGGCCTGGGAAGACATATATGTCTGACTTCACACTGGTGCTCAGCTTGCATCCTAACTTCAATAGAACTGAAAAGCTCATTTGGCTCTCCTGCAATGACAACAAACTAAAAAGGAACTGTTTACTACAGACAACTAAACTGTTATACCCAGGGTCCTCTTTATGAGAAAGCTTTCTCCTAACTGCCTTTATTGATTTTAAAGAGGAGATTGGGAATTGGTATGAGTCATTTGCACAGTTGCCTATTTTGCCATCGAGAGCCGAAAACAGATCCTGAAGATTACACTGCAGTATCAAATCTCTGGGGAAAGAAATGGTGTATCTGGGCACCTGGAAGTGGTGATTGGTAAGGTTCTGGAAGGCTGACTGCCTGTCCTGGCTAGCATAACAGCATAAGTCTGCATTTTGTGTTTCCTGTGCCATGTGCACTAGACAGGAAAGGGACAGGACAGCTCCCCAGCTGTGGCTAAGTACACACACACACACACACACACACACACACACACACACACACATACATACACAAGTGAGGCTTGGCAGGAGCCATTGCAAGTCAGTTGTGGTTTTCATCCTGCGTATTTACTTGCTGGTCATCTCAGAAATTAGTAAAGTAAAAAATCTCCAAGCTATTCTCCACAGGAAACCATTGCACAGAAAGGTCTGCGAGAGCAGCTTGGACAATAACAACCCTTCCTTCATTCTGTAGCTGACTAGCCTTTCCCTGTGTCCTGATTTCGTGTTGGGGCCATGCACCGGCCATGTGCAAAGGTATCATGCAACACACCATAGGATCTAACCTGCAATAACACCTGGCTTCCACTCCTATCAGAAAATGAGTTTTGTCTTCCAAAATCCAAATCTCTCTCAAGTCCTAACCCCAGCACCTTAGAATGGAGCCTCATTGAATGATCAGGCCTTTGGAATTGGTGATTCAGTTGGAACTATATCTTAAGGGCAGGCCCTAATCCAACCTAACAGTGTCCTGATGAGAAGAAAAAAAATTAGGCTCAAAGAGCCCCCAGGGATGTGAGCACAGAGGAAATGGCTCTCACAAGGCAGGGAGAGGAGGCTTAGAGCCCAGCCTCCGGACAGTTACCCTCCACCAGGGCAACGGTCTTTTGTTCCAGTAGCCCTAGTGCCCCTCACTTTGATAAGAAGAGCAGAGCCTTCTGAGCCACTGAAGCTCTGCAACAAATGAGCAAGAACAGAAATAAGGGTTGGCCTGGCCCGCAAGCATGAGGACCTGAGTTCTGCCCCTAGAACCCATGGTGAAGGCTGTCGTGTGGCACAGGCTTATAATCCCACCCTGGGAAACAGGTGACCCTGAGGCTCACTGGCCACCAGTCTTCTAGGTCAGTAAGAGACTGCCTCAAATAACAAGGGGGAATGGCTCCTAAAGAATGACGCCTGAAGCTGATCTCTGACCTCAACACACCAGGATGCACACTTACCCACATATATATCTGCACCCACACACATCTGCACGCACGCACGCACACACACACACACACACATCTGCACATACACACGCACGCACAGAATATGAAGTCAAGCCACCATAAGTTTCTCAGAACACACAGCCATTACTAATTACTATAGTCTCATGTATTTATATCAGAAATGAGAGGTGCTTTCCCCAACACCTGAAGCAAAGTGTTGAAATTTTCCAACGTCAATCTCTACTCACAGGGGAGATTAAATAAAAAACATTTCTTTCTAGATTCCTGAAGCAGCTCACCAGAGAAGGAGTGCCTCTGGATCATGAAGGCCTGGCTCAGAGCAACTTCCTCAGGGCAGCAGGCTGTGACAGGCAGGCCAGCTACTCCTAAAACAGCTACTGAAGCACAGTTATCAAGAACCCTGCCCAGAAAACTCAGTTCTACTGTCCTGACTATGAGGATGAAAAGGACCAACTCAGACCATTTATTAGGAGGACTTACTAAATTAATGTGCAAAGGTCATATGAAACACTGACATGAGCATAAGTCTCCTTCCCTGCGGACCCTAGTGCTCACAGCTAACTGGTAAGACTGTCAAGAGGCTGAGGTCGGGGAGTACAGAAACCTGACTGATGGAACAGACCAGTTCACAGGTAGCTACAGGGATGTGCTGACCACCATGGCTACGGCCCCTCCAACCACAGTGGGACCAGACCAAAGGGCAGGTGCCAAAGCCCCCATTCAGTTAGAGTAAGGAGTGGCATGAGATGGCTGTGTCTATACAAGGGTGGGCACTGTCTCAGTGTACTGCTTGAACCACCAGGAGCCCCAAGGCTCAGAACAGAAAACTGATCACGGAAGAGACAGAGCTCAGACATCTACTGATACAAGCTACACTTGAGGCTACCGCAAGAGCCCATGCAACTTAACTCTGTACACTCAGAGAAGAGGAGGGCTAGCCATACTTGGGTGGGCCAGAGGGCTAAAAGCACAACAGGCAGCATCTCTTCTCATCAAACTAGGTGTCCCATCACCCCGGCGATAGCAGGACACCCTGGATGGGGTTCACAGACAGCAGAAAGCACATCTCACAAGTCTGAGGCAACAGCCCAAGAACAGAGGCACTGTTAGGTAAGGGCTCCCAATCCTCCTTGTTCAGTGTCCTCCAGTGGTGCGAGATGGGAGAAGTTCTTGGGCTGTTTGACAAGAACACTAATAACCTCTGTAGGGATTCTGACCCAGCATACCCGAAACTTCAAGCCAGCCTGTGAAGGAGGGCCATTACACAGACAGGAACTGAGGTGGTGGTAGGAGGGTACTTCCCTGCAGGCCACGGTCAGGTAGCTAGAAAGAGTCAAAAAAGGCCTGGCACCAAGCTCACTTGTTTATGAGAGGATTGTCCTCGCTCTCCCCAGCCAGGTCTTACTTTGAAGGTCAGATGTGCTCTGGGGCCACTGTGCTCCACAGCACTCACAGTGGGGAGCAGGGACAGACTCTAGCTAAGTTATGGGGAGGGACGAACGTGTACAGCTGGAGGCATCCAGCCAGGACTAAGACTCAGATTACCAAAGAGCCTGGCCACTAAGGAAGGGCACACGAGAACGAGGCTAAACTAAGGATCCCCCAAGAAAGGCCCTAGGGTTCCATTTCTGAAAAAAGAGTAAAAACAAAAATGCACACTGTACTAATGCTTGCTGTCTATAGGTCTTCAGAAATAGCTGTTTTCTGTCACAGAGCCAACAAGAGCTGCAGTCCAGAAAGAGACAGCTCCCACGCTGGCTGGAACACCTCTCTGGAGGGCCAGTCTTTGAGCCGAAGCATGCATGCTCTTGACCCGACAGCCAACACACATTAATCCCTCCTCAACAGCATTTGCTAAGACAGACCTTCAAATGGACAGCACGACACCCAAGGACACAGGCTGAGAAGTTACCTCAGCCTGCTCAACAACTCCTAGTGGATTTGCTGTAACACACACAATGTCAACACCATAATAAGGAAGTCACTAATAAAAACCTCACACTGGGAGCTGTCACAGGGAAATCCAGTATCAAACATATAACCAGCCCCCAGTGGTCCTTCAGTGACCCTGTGCCTTCATCACTGGCTGTCACAAAGCCTGCTCCTTCTAGCCTTCCTTCTGGGCCCTACTCTGGTCCCTGCATTTCCACCTCCAAATTGTCAATCACACAGGCATAGCACATATGTGCACATGTGCACGCACAGGCATAAGAATGCACATCCTGACACAAATGCTTTCCCCCAGTTCCTACTCTGTGACAATCACCTCCCTCAGTAGGAGTGATAAGAGGGAGCACAGTATGGTGCCCTAGGGTCACAAACTTAATGCTATGAAGATTTGCAGAAAAGGAAATGCAACTGACACATAAATACCAGCCCCAAGACACCAAATGCCAAGGTCTTTTTCTATACCCACCAACACCATTTAACTAAGGAGCAGTCACCTTCAACAACTTACAGAGCCCAGGTTAATCTGGAAACTGAAGAATCTATAAAGGAAAAGATTGGATAACTGCATCTCAACATAAGATCATGAAAAGCCCCAATGAATGATAATTTTTAACATAAGCTGTAGTTATTGTTATTGTGTGTGTGTTATGTGTGCATGTGAGCACATTTGCCACAATGTACACATAGAGGTCAAAGGACAACTTTCTCCTCTTCTCCCATGAACAGGTTCTAGAAACTGAACTCATGTCATCGGGCTTACGTAGTAGCACAGTAAGTGCTTTAGCCAAGGGGCCATCTTGAGGGAGTCGGTTTTTCATTGTTTGGCTTTTTCCAGACAGGGCTTCTTGTGCATCCCTGGCTGTCCGGGAACTCACTCTGTAGACCAGGCTGGCCCTGAACTCACAGAGCTCTGCCTGCCTCTGCCTTCCAAGTGCTGGGATTAAGTCATGTACCACCACCACCCGGCTAGTTGGTAGGTTTTTGTGTCAGAGCAAGCAAGAACGTTGTGGCTGCAAGGGTGAATGTTGCATGTTAGGGAGAGCCCTGCCTTGGAGTAACAGGTTCTTTCACCCTAAAGCCTTTGTTAAAAAACAACCTTCTCAATGGGGTTCAACAGCTTCAAAAGTGCATGATGAAGAAA